CGTGAGGTCGTAAAGGTTGGAAGCGGGGCTGGAGAAGTGCGCTGGCACCCCTCCCTTAGGAAGAGCTCTGCTTGCACATGGGCTTGAAGCTCCACTGTCCTGTAGCAACCACTCCCCGACCCAATAGGAGGCTGCATCACTACTCCCCGCCCTGGGAGCAGTTCCCAATTGCACCAATAAAGGCGAGGTCGACGGGCCAACGAGACTCCAGCGGCATCGATGGAGACGGGAATATCACCAAACGACTCTGTCATGACCTTCCTGTCGTCCTCATCCATACTCATGACGCTTTCAGCCAAGTAGCGTACCTGCGCCCAGCAAAAATGCAATTGAACCAGCTCGCGGATTCGGGCCACGTGACTGAACAAACAGCTGCGATGATCTCGAAGAGCACCACGGCGGTTGGCGTTTAGCCCACTCACTCCTTGACACGGAGGGCCGGCACCAATGAGGACTACGGCCGCCTGGGAGTATCGGGCTGCCCATGCCCTAACCATCTCATCATCTACCACTTCCACACCGCCATCTACAAACAGGGTGGATGGAAAACGACTCTCAAGGACCCTGCTCGCTTCCTTCTTCACTTCCACACTGATGTGACCAATCACTCCCAAGCCAAGAGTGTCAGCTGCCACTCGCAGTGCTCCTATCCCGTCGAACAGCCCTATCGTGAGTACGGCATTCAAGTCCTCCGGATCGGCCAAATCACCACGCACCTTCGCGCCAGCCGCTGCGAGCCCAAAGCCTGTTAGACCTGTGCTGGCCGTGATTCCTCCTCCCGTAGTTGAGGCGTCGCTGGCCGTGACCTCCCCGCTGACCAGGAGGCGGAAGTTCAACTTGGCTAAAGGAACTAAGCAAATGAACCTCGCGATCTCGAGCTTGACCCCGTCTGGGATGGTGAACTTGATGAAAGGCGGATATCCCCGAAAGCTTTCAATGAATTGCCAAACGTGATTCAGGCAGCCTAACAGGGGTCGTCTGAACATGCTGATGTACACCAGGCCTCCCGCCACCACTTGGGCTTGCTTCTGACTGCACAAAGTCTCCTGAAGAAGAAGTGATGCCAAGGCGACATACTTGTAGACTTTCACTGGTTTGGGGTAGGCAACACCAGCCTCTCCATCAATGATTGCTCCTTGCACTTCGGCTTTCAATGCTCTGCAGACCGCCTTCTTGGGGTGACGCGGGATGCCCCACTCTTCATACTCAGCCCTCAATGCCAAGAGAGCTGGGCTCGGCTCCCCTTGCAGGAGCTGAGCGGTCTTGTGGTCCATCTTCTCCAGCAAGTCGAAATTGTCAAGGTACACTCTATGCAGGGTTGGCGCTCCAGAGAAAGGCTTGTCTTTACGAATCTCACCTGAACCTTCAAGGGAACCTGGCATCCGTAGTCCAGCTCGTCGTACGATTTTGCGGTGGACGTGCTGCGCTAGGCTGACCGAGTTCTTGAACCCCATAGGTAATACCTGAGATGCGAGGTAGTAGGGTCCATTCTGGGTTGGCCACAGATCTCGCGGGAGCACTTTGTTGAACGCCAAGAGCCTTCTCCACTCACCTGGAATCTTGAAAATATAAAAGAAACACCGCACATCTTCAGATGACACGACTAGATCCTCTGTGGGCATGACCTGCAGTGGCCCCATTGTAGCCCAACTCGGTAGAGTCGAGACGTCGCCCTCGAGCGCTCGACATACCAAATTGCATGGTCGTAGGTCCATGATCAGGCGGTGAATGGGAATGCCGTTGACCTCTTCGTCCTTGGGCACGCCAAAAAGGCCGTTGAGAACTGGAGCTCCGTCCACCCGGTAGAGCTCGCTCTCGTGGATAGGAGTGCAAACTCCCCGTTCCAACAATCCCTGGCAGACCTCAAACCAGTTGTCATCATGGACCAACACCCTTGGTGGCTTCATGCCCTTCTGCATCTCCCCGGGTAGGAGATAATCGAGGAAGTGGTCAACATAGTGCTTACAACCAAGTTCGCACACTTCTGACAAGTCTACTGACGCTACTTCTGCAGGCATAGCCGGGGCCAGGTTAGCCCAGGAGGTTGGGCGTGCACACAAGACTTCATCACCGCAATAATCGATGGTCTTTAGCTCAAAGAAACTTTTCCAAGAAGTCTCTTCCAATCTTTCGGGCCAACCCATGACCACTTGAGCCTCTTTATGTAACCCCTTAACTACCTGCCCCTGGACTCTTGTAGGATAGAACGTGTTCTCAACCGATTCCCCATAGAAGCTATTCAACGCACAACACATGCCCCTCACGATCACCACTTCTTGCTCAGGCGCCTCCACCATCTTCTTGAGGTAAACCATGCTGGTGGGCAACGGGAAAACGTCGCCCTTGGGCTGGGCCTTGCATCGCAGGTCGAGACCGATCTTCTCACATGTATGAACCAGCATGCTCAACACCCAAGGGACAGCGTCGGCAAAATTATCTCCTGCACTCGGCGGTTTCATGCATTCTTTTTCAAGCGCGACCACGTTCAGTCGTTCGCCCGAAGTCGGCAGGGAAGTAGCCAGAATACCCGGCCTCACGTCTGCCGCAACTGTGCTCCCGGCCTCCACGTCGACATGACGTCCAGTGGCCAGGTCATCTGGAAAACCATCCAGGCTCTTGCCTGGCTCCACCCCGTCGAGCTCCCCTTCAAATGGAGCTCTCTCCTCCGGTGGCTCATAGTCTGTCCTCATCTCTACTTCTCCTCTCTCTTTTCCCATTTCTTCGGATCTTCCTTCTGCTTCCCCTTCTTGCCGCGGCCTTTCGGATCTTTTCCTTTCTTGTTGACGTCGGTGCCGCTCTCGGTCCAGGAACTTGACCTCCATCCATCTCCTTTCCCCTTCGACTGGGAGGCTTCCGACTTGGTTTTGGAGTCCTCTTTTTGTTCTTTGATAGCCTCTCTGGCTTCGCTCCTTGTAGATAACACAGGGCGTTCCGGAGGTAAAACCTCGAGCCTCTGGGCTATTTGCCACGCCGCCCCCTGCGAAACCAGTTCGATCGACTTCAATCTCTGAACCAGACAGTCGGCCGATTCGGCCACTCGACCTTGCAAGATAAGGTCTATGGCAAAGCAAAGAGTCAACGCTTCCCTCGAAGGTGCACCTTGAAGGCGAGGGGCCATGGCTTGCCGGTAGTACTGGATCGAAAGGGGTTGAAGCTCCGAATCCTCCTGATGCCAGATCCCTCCAGTGCTTGTGAGTAAGGCACCCTGCATCTCCTTGAGTGCCTGTGCCGCGAGGAGGCCCGGTGCCTTCTTTGCGACCCGACGGATCTTGTGCTCCTCCGCGAAGACCTCTGTTGACTCCCCGCTGTAGGAGCTCCCCCCGCTGCTTGAGCCGCTGCTGGATGATGACCTCTTCTTCTTCTTGGTCTTCTTCTGCGCCTTGTTGGCGAATCTCTTCCGGAACTTCGGGTCGGGGGAAAGTCCTGTTCCCCCTAGGACATCTTCCAGCTTCTTCTTTGCGCCTCCTCTCAGGCTGATCTTCTCTTTTGAACGTCCTCGACTCCGATCTCGATCGCGGCTTCTTCTCTTTCTCTTTTCTCGCACCTTCTTCTCGGCGGGATCCCTCTCTCCTTCTCGGCCTCGATCTCGACCTCCTCCAGCTACGGCCTCCCCGCCTGGGAGACCAGCCTCGGCTGGGCGAAGCACCGGGTCCACGGCGTCCACCAAGTTGCTCATCCATGGCAGGTCCTCCCCTACTCTCTTGCAGATGCTGCCGCCGTGGAGGAGGTTGTCGGCTTCTAAACGATCCAGACAGGCTCCTCCGCATAGGTGGACCCTCAGTGACTCCGTGGGATTGCCGCTCGCCCACTTCAACAGGTTCTCCTCGTCGGTGCCCTGCAGTTTGAGGGAGGCCTCGATGTCCCTTGGTGCCCGCACATGGAGATCTTGAAGTACTCCTGCGACTTCTCTCCTCAACTTCTGTCCTCACTTCACCTCCCCGAATAGGAGGTCTGTCCCTACCAGCTCGACGGAGAACCGCTGCTGGCCTTACTCTCGGTGGCATTGGTATGGCGATCAGGTCAACGACCTCCCTGACCTCCTTGATAATGCCGCTCACGCTTCTTGGCACCCTTGTTCACACCGTAGTAGGCTGGATCGTTCTTCCAGTCCTTGAACGGCCCTCGCCAGAAGTTCCCTGGTGGCCTCTGCTTGGCCTTCGCGACCGGGAGCCTCTTAGGTGGCCTTGGTGGCGACCTTGATGGCGTACGAGGCGGTCGAACGCTGGGCTTCGCTTTCTTCTCCTTCTCAACCTCCGTGTTCTTCTTGGGCGTCTTCCTTTCTGCCTCAGAGGAGGTGGGTCTCCTTCGTCTCCTACCTTCTCTACTTCTCGATCTGCGTGATCTCCTTCTGCTGCGACTCCTTCTCGACGACCTGTTCCTCGAGGAGCGGCGTCCGGACTTTTCTCTTGCCACCTTGGACCCACTCGAGTGCTTTCCTTCCTCTTCCAGGTCAACCAGACCGGGTCGGGATGTGCTCGGGCTTGTCCTCTTCTCCTCCTTCGGCTTGATCCAGCTCTTGTCGACCTCTTCTTCCCTCTTGGCGTCAGGAACAACTGTACTCCCCGACTTAGGAGTGGCGGTACCCTCGGCTGTCGTCTGTGCACGCTCCTGCTCACCAAGTCTCTCGAGTTCCTCCTCGAGGATGCTTGTCCAGATCCTCAGATTCTGCAAGCCCCAACCTCGTGCACGCGTGGGAAGCTGGTCAAGGGTCCGCCAAAAACGGTCGCGGCTGCGGCAAAAAGTGCACACCGTGTCAGTCTCCGCGCAAAGGATGCGACAGAGCCTACACGCATGCATACCCTTTGAGCCCAAACACTATTCAAAAAAGAGTGTCCGTTCAGTCGTCTTAATGTCCGGGGCCGGAAGTACATGTGTGTGTGTGTGTGTGTGTCTGTCCAGCCAAACTTCCGACCTCATGAAATCTGGAGGAAAACACAAACGGTCTGTATGAACAAACTCCCAGCCATGACGTGCCTTCTGCTCAACATCTTCGTTTAGCTTTGTCAGTTCCTCCTGCCTTGCAACAGCAGTTGCAGTTGGACAAGGAAGACAGCACGAGAAAAAGTGATCAAACTCTCGCCACTGCGAGCGCGCACACACACACAACGACAATCATGTTTTCCAGCGCGGGGCAACAGAAGCTTCCGGAGAGTGGCGCGAGCGCATGTGCCTAAAAGCAGCGCAAGGCAAAATATGAGATGCCAGGCCCCAAAGTCTGCTTCAGAATGTTCGAGACTAAAAGGATCTTGGTTTCCACGCGGTTGGACAAAGTTCAGAAGGATCTCCCGCTTTAGGTGATGTTGCAGAATGAGTCTTCAGCCTGGCTTTCTGCAAAGACAAGCGACAAAAATCAAGCCGCCTACCCCTGTCTTGTCCGTAGGAACGCAAATGGACACATGCGAAACGACTCCTGGACCGGCAGCCCATGAATTGAGAAACAGAGGTGAGCGCAGTAAGTGTAACACGTCCTTCCTTCCTTCCTTCCTTCCTTCCTTTCCTGAGGGTCCCACTTTGCAGTCGTGCTGATGCTCCAGCTAGTGCATGACCAATAGCAGCTGAGAATGACATGAAACCCCTGAAGCTTAAATTGGATCGCACAGTCCAAGCCAAGCCTCCCGCTTCTTCTGGGTCCACTTTGCCAAGGTATCTCCTTCCCACAGCCTTGGTCATACAGTTGCATGCTCCGGGTGCACGCCCAGATTGCGAGGACCGGACTCATTCATAACCTCAGGTGACAAACCGTCACAAAAGTGGAACATGGCCCCACCGCAGAACCTGCAAAGACCAGTCTTGACATGAGTTTTCACCTCCATAATGTCCGTCAAGAGGCCTCGAGCTCCTGAAAAGCGGTGGGGGAACATATGGCAAATGAGACCACCAACAGTCCCACAAGCATAAGGAGTGGTATACCTGACCTCACCGCAACTCTCTCTCTCAAAGTAAGCGGTGAAGGATGAAGAGCGTCCTCACATTCTTCCAGCTTTCGTTGACATGCCTCAAATGCATGCAAAGTCTTCAGGCCGACTGTCACCTTTACTTGCGGCACCCACATGCACAGTACAAATCGGGCATGCCACCTCAAGTGTCCATGCATTCAGGACGTGGTGGTCCCAGAATCGCACCTGCAAGAACTGATTGAGACTGAGAGAGGTCCATGGATACAACAAGGTGACCAGGCGGGTACAGGTGTCACGGTTGCTAACTCCCAGGCCTCGACATACGGCACCTCTTGGGCAATGCTGCCCTCAGCCTGCCCCAAGTTCTGGGAAATCCAAGCGACTGAGGTAATCACACTGTCATGTCCTGGCATCCCCTGATAAAGATTGTGGCTCTTGTGGAAAGTGCTTGAATCGTAGAGACCTTGCTTGCTAAACCTTTTGGGCTAGAAAGCAGGGATGAACCCAGCCCAAGCTCCTGCAGTTAAATTTAGAGACACCTCCCCGCAGAACTCAACTCCGACTATTGTTTGGTCCAGCTGTGACAGCCGATAGTTGGTGTGCAGTTGCAACCATGTGTCCTGCGAAGCATCCGATGCCTTACATGAGTTGCAGTTTCAGTTGCATCGCGCTCAGGTACGGGGATTGTCAACGTGCCGTGTCGTGTTGATGGCTGGCGCGAAGACGAGAAGGGGTTTCAGGTTGCAGTGGCAGCTTAGGTGTTCGTTTCTGGTGAAGGAGGCATGAGGGCGGCCGAAGCTTTGCAAAGCCATGAGAGCTTCGTCCTGGTCTGTATGAAGCAATTCCTTGGAAGCTTGCATCTTCGGTGTGGCAGCCCATACACCATTGATGGTATGATGATAGTCCTATCCATGGGCAGGGTTGACAACCGACCTAGACTTGTGGAACCAATTCCTGGCTCACCTCAAGCGCTTCCGAAGGGATTTTGTCGTGCACAAGGTTCGTTCACGCCTCCCGATAGTACGGATAGTACATGCCTTCGAATCGGACTTACTGCTGCTGGCCTCTCGAGCTGTTGGGAATGAAAACGGAAGGTTTGTCTCTCGGCCTCTGGGTTGGACCTGGTGACGTAGCTTGACGCTGATGCATACGGCACCTATGGAGTTGGTTTTGTTGGTAGGCGATTTTGTAAATGTTGAAGTCAATTCCGTCACGAGCACGACGTTCAGTGCTGATTTCAGGGTAATTTCGGCGGTTGTTCTGGATCTTTCGTGGTCACCTCAATTACTCTTTGGACATCTGGAAGGTCACCCTGGAGCGACTCTAGGGTTTTCCGCTTAGTACGGAGAGGTTTCTGTTTCAGGGGAACAAACCAATCAGGAATGCTCAGGTATGGATGCAAAGGGTCGACCATGACCAGGTGTGGTTCTTCTACTTAACCGAAGGACCCAACACTGCAGCGCAGTCCACGTGCAAACCACCAGGCGTGCTATCTTTAGCCCCACCTGGGGCACGAGGAGGTGAAGCCCCTCCTTGGCCACGAAGGAAGCCGGAAAGCCTCCGAATCAATGCTGCAACCAATCACGCATGGATCTACAGAACACAAGAAAAACCGTTTAACATGCGGAAGAACAAGTCAGCCATCAGGTTGAAACATCTTCATGGATGTTTACGCCTCGGATGCCAGAACCGATCGCAGGGCAGCCTTGGTCACGGGCTTTGGGAAGGTCACACAATCCTTTTTTATCGCCCATGTCTCCACTATCTTGAAAGGCTGGAGCAGTATGCAGATAGATTCCAGCTCAATATCTATGCAGTATATAACACTTCTGAAGCTGTCACACCTATCGGGTGGAATGAGAAGAACCTATCGGAAGACTTCCCCATGTTCCATGCAATGCCATGGGGCAGAAGGACTTGGCATTCAGCTCCACCGCTTTGGCCACGAGGCCTGAAGGCCAAAATGGCCAAATCTCCAGCAAGGTAAGCAAGTACAAATATAAGTCAGCAAAAATAAGCAAGTACATGTCTATATACAGCATAGATCAGTATAGTACATGCACCAAATAAAGTGCATCACCGAGCAGTCAGCTTTCTCAACTGGCGCAAACATCACTCCTTTTACTCGTGGGAACGCTCAAGTCCCAAGTGTTGGGATTCAGTCACCGGCCGCGGTCTTGTTGGGCACGAATACAGCTTGAAACTCATCATCGCAGCCGTCAAAACAAGAGTGTCCAAAGCTTGGCGATCTCAGGTTCAGTCCATCTGCTCACTCATTGCATCGCTACTAGGAGCAAGGACGCTACTAGGGGCTCCTGGCCTTACTACTAGGAACCATACAAGCGATTAAATAGATTAGCAACAAGAAATAGAACTAAAATTAGTTTAAATCAAATAAAAGTGAAGAAATGCGGAACTCCAACTTGAACTTGAGAAGCCCGCCGGAGCGGAAGCTGCTGAAATGCAAGGAACCTAGAGAATACTGCATCATACAGTGATCAGAACGGTGAGGTCAGTGTTGTGAAGTGGATATATGACATATGTGTGTGGGGCCTATGTGATACGCTGCACACATTGGCAGGCAAGTAGACAAACTCGGCAGTAACTAGTATGAAGTGAAGACAAACAGTTGTGAGTCTGCAGCAAGTCTACCTTGCCGCTGGAGAAAGCTCGGAAATGTAAAAATAGACGATAATAAATGTATATATCTGTTTGCCGCACCGTCCTGAGCCACTTCCCTACCAAAGCCATCAGTACCCTCGAGAAGGTTCTCGACAAAAGGATGTCCGCGGGTGGGCATCCCCATCTGAGACTCTGGTAACGGAACGGTGGAGCAAATGCCACCGCGTCAGACCAAAACTTAGGAACTAGACATAATGATCTCTACTTCCTTGCAAGGCTCTTGCAAAAAAGGGACACAAGATGCAAGCCTGCCTGCTGATGTCTAGGTCTGTCTGAGAACTGGTTCAATCAAGGCTTCCAGGGGTTGCATGTGATGAAGGTTCACAATGGTTCACTGGGTAAATTGCCACGAGCTTGGTAGGCAAGCAGGGCTTTCGCAAACAGCTTCCGAAAGGTCTCACAAAGTATCGGCGAGCTGCTGCCTCAGCCAAATGCCGTTTCAATGTTGACACACTTTATAAGCTACTAGGAACAAGTGCATCGCTACTAGTAACAAGTGCCTTACTACTAGTAACAAGAAGCAATTAGAATTTAATTAGAATTAAGTGAAATTAGAATTAATTTCAGTTCACCACCTTAGACCGTTCATATTCGGCGAGGGACCCTTCACTCCAGGAAGTGTTGCAGCGCGCTTCAATCCATGCCCACTTCCTCAAAAGGTGGCAATGTCACAAGCGAAGCATCTGCGGCTACTAATATACATATATATATATACTGTATATCTGTATGTGTATATATATATATGTTAATACATATATATGCAGTATATAGTTCAAGCAAATATTGAAGCGTGATTCTATCTATATAGCGTATGTGATGTAAAGGTGGTACGAATGATGAATTCTGTGCAAGCCAGAAGTGTCGGAAGCCCATAGAGCATGCCTGATTTCATGACAATCCAGGCTTGCAGTCTACCAGGCCACGGCCCGCCTCTCTGTAGCGCTGAAGCTCAATTTGATGCTTCAGTGTCTGACTGGTAGTCGCGTGAACCTGGGCGTGGGCCAGTTCTTTGCATGAAGCAAAAGGCGACATGGCAAACACTTGTGGCATGTTGCAACCCCGCCTCGCGTCCAACCAGCGCGCGACGCTCCACGAGCAATGCGTTCCGTTCAGTCTGGAGGCGATTTTGAAAGCAACCATATCTGTAATGGCGTTGGATGAACCCCACTGGTCGGTCAGAGTGTTTGAGACTGGTCAAAGAGTGATTGAGAACACTCATACAATGAAAGGCCTCAAGCAAGGGTTGCTTTACTTGGAGGGATGCAAAGGCTTCGGTGTCAATCGTACAATCGAGTCCTCCAAGGCTGCCAGGCGCTGATCCAAATCCGACAACTTCTGCTGCATTTCCAGATTCCCCATTGGCGTGTCAGGCCTCTCGAAATGGCACACAACCCTGCCGTGACACAAGCCACACAAAAACTTGTTGCTCTAAATCCGACAATGGCAATATCGAAGCAAATCAAGGCCACATGAGCAGCTTTTAGGGCCTCTAAACTCCAAAACCGCTGGCTTTCCTCTTTGGTGTTCAGGGTGACTGTGAATGCCGACACATCCAAAAGCACAGTTGGAACTGGAAGGCCGACTCGTTTACGTTCAATATACAGTGGCCTGAGGGAGTTGCTCCGCTTAACTAGGCGGGGTCGGTCTTCAGCAAGCTTGGCATCCTGGCAGCGCACGTGCAATGAACTGCTAATGCAATGTATTCCACTGCTAGGAGCAGAATATGTTGGGGAATTCATCACCATCGGCCACTGCATCACAGCTCGATACCGGCCCACACCCATTCCTCCAAAGAATAGTGCGAACCCTAAAGAACCCCAACGAGTCCTTTGTAACACGGTTGCGTCTTCCCCTGCCCGGCCCATCTCCTTTTGCAAGTGCCCCAGACAGTTATATACCGAACTAACTACAGTGTCCGTTTCCGTCCTACATGTATCATGCACGAATAGCAAAACTCCTACAAGGTATGCAGTCAGAATCAAATCAGCATGTTGGCAAGTTGCATGGTAAACCCATCTCCGACAATCAACCATCCATAAATAAACTCCTGCTCGCGCTTCTGCTGGTGCTGTATCTCACGGAACATGCGCTTGACAAAGCCCGGGTAGTCCGTAAGAGACAAGAAGTCATCCAGGACCTTGGCTTGGCAAAGTCAGGCAAAGCCTCCTGTGCCATCTTGTCATAACCAGTCGAGGGACATCAACACCATTCAAAACCAAGCTCGACACAATCTGCTCCATGAAGGCCAAGGTACAGCCGATTGCTGAGCTTCCTCAACAAACTCCTCTTGGAAGGTCTTCGCTTGGACAAGGCCCCAAAGAAACAAGGCCTTAAAGCAAAGTGTGTTTGCAAATTCTTGCCGCTTGGGGCACGTCAAATATACTTTGCATTCTTTTCCATTCCTTCTCTCTCCGACGTCTGTGTCTTCCGTTTCAATTGTTTGGTTGTTGCGGACCGCTTTCGCTGCCCAGTGACATTCTGCATCGTCAATTCGGCCTCCGCCTCGAAGCGCTTGTAGATATCAAACCTGGGTTTAGGTATCATGGAACACAACCTCGGGACTCCCGCCCACGGTATACTTTGCCGATTGTGTCCACTCTCAGTTTCACACCATTCAGCTTTTTGCTCGTTCTTGGCCACGTCTGGGCTCTCCAGGGAGGCAAAACGGTGACAGTTGGCCTCAAATGTCCAAAGTCGCGTACTCCCAGCGTCCTGAAGAATGCTGGAATCCGTGCCAAGATGCAGCAAAAAACTGCTCGGCAAAGGAGTTGCACTCCTTAGGTAATCCGCAAAAACATCAAAACCCACACTCTGTGGACTACGCACCTTGGTGCCTCAGAACTCACCCCTTCTCCAACACTCAATTGAGTATTGAATAGTATCGAGTATTGTGGGTTTTTCATGCCCAGCATCCGAGGCGACCAAACCGAGCACTTCACGTTGGGTGGACATGGCTTCACGAGGATCAAGCGCTACCACACTCTCGGGTCACTGCAGGCAAGTTGTTGTGGCGTCGCTGCTGGGAGCCCAACAGCCCAACGAGTGCACAATGCGTGTCTGAGGCAGCTTGATGCCCAAATGTCAAAACTAGTCGCTTCTTGTTACTAATGGTAATGCCCTTGTTACCAGTAGTGATGCCCTTTGCTACTAGTAGTTAGCATATCCTTTTGGCATTCGCATGTTGCCAGGACAAGCTTCGAAACGAGGCTTGACAATGTCAAAGTGCCTCTGAAGCTTTGCCTCAGCAGCTGCTGCGCTTCTGCGACATCTGACGCATAGTCCTCCAAGCAACTTGCCCGGATCTAGACCATAGGCCAGCCATGGCCAGCCAGCTTCTCAAAACAAACAGCTTGATGTAGCTTGACGCTTGACTGGGCCACCCTGCAGCTGCGCGGTCCACAGGCATAGGTCGTGGATCCTTGGAGCTTGGATGTCCTGTCTCATGGACCAGCAAGGACGCTTCTAATAACAAAGGGCATCGCTACTAGGAGTAAGGACGCTTCCAGGGGCTCCTGGCCCTACTACTAGTAGCAAGAAGCTACTAGTAAAAGGGCATTGCTACTAGTAGCAACCCTCGCAGCCGAAAGGTGCGCCACTCCGGCTCCTGGCACCACCGTGTGGAGGACATACCGTGCCTGCCAGTTCGTCGGGCGAAGCATGAAAGAACCGCGAGTGCATGTTGATCGAATCGGCTCCGTGGTGCCTTGAGGTTTGGCGCCTTCGTCACAACCACCTCCCCAAACTTCAAAGAAGATGCCTGCAATTCGCACTAAATTTCACAACAATGGGCGGGCTGAAGTATCTAGACACCTCCTGCGATTTTGCAGCTGTGTTTGCATTACTCTCACTCACCAAAAAGACGCGGCAATGTGCAAATGTCCAGCCTGTGCACGACACTCGGCAAGGAGTTCTGGCCCTGCCTTCCGAAGCATTTATTAATTTCAGGGTGCGCCAGGTAATGTCCAGAAATAGACCATTAGGTCATTAGGTTGGAGGCCATCACTATTCGCTTGGAACATTGCACACTCGGTGCTTCTGCAGCAAGGCGCTGAAGGTGAGTGTGCGAAGTGCCTTCTCGTGTAGCGCGGCATCCGCACTCTTGCGGCCGGCAAATCCCCACCTGAGGTGTTCCAACCACTGCGGAAGGATTCTCGAAAACCACTCTTTGACTCATTCAACCTTGTGAAAGCTATTCAACATTGTTACGGCCATGTATGTTATTTCTATTGCCACACCAGCTGCCCTGGGAGCTGCACCAGTTCCTTCGCAGCGTCCCCTCCAAATGCCGGTTGGTGCTGGTAGCCAACGCCTTCGCGAGAATGAAAAACACAGACACAAAAGTGGCAACTGTAGCAGCGTCAAAGAACCTTTGGGCACCCTCCTCCTCCGCCTCCCCTCCTCCTTCTCCTCCTCCTGCTTCTTCTCCTTCTCCTTCTCCTTCTGCTTCTGCTTCTGTTTCTGCTTCTTCTTCTTCGTCTTCGTCTTCGTTTGCTTGCTGCACTCTTGTGCTTTCTCCTCTGACCTTGTGTCTGTGTCTAAAGCCATAAAGTTCCAGAGGCAGTCTTGTTCTGGATGTGGACTCAGGGTCATGTTCATCATTTCTTCATGAAGCAAATCTAGGACCGACTCAAGGGGGCAACACCCTAGCTTCGAAATAAAGACCTTTAACAATTGCTTGGCAATGCTTGGGCTAGCCGCTTTGGTTTTTGCAACCATGGCAAACCAAATGACTTGACAATCAAGGAAAATTCGGGGACCACAAGACCAATGAAGCGTGAACCCTACTAGCAAAAGACTGAAGGACTAGCCACGGTGAGGCCAACAAACGTTGAAGATGGCTGCACTCTTGATTGTTTCGGGGACCTTCGTGACCGTTCTGGCGAGAGAACTTGGACAAACAACACCTGGAATCGAAAGCAAACTGTGATAGACCTCGCCCGGCCATTCAGCAAGGTCTGCGTCTGCCAAGCAAAGGAAGCCCCCATGTGGCCTTCACACAGTGTTTGCAAGAAAAAACTCGATAGTGACCCCTGGCTCAAAAAAGGCCAAAGGCATCAGTTTTTGCAAATCTCTCTGTGGCCGACCTGCGAAAGTAGCGCACTGGCTTCCTGCGAAGGCCGAGGCATCTGAGCTGCCTGGCCCCCTCACATCCAAACAATATATATATATATTATGTATAGAGCCAGAGCTTAAGGCACATTGGAGATGTAGCAACCATGACTGCACCCTCCGTCCTCGGTAGAAGCTGCCCTGCACTTGCCATGTTCCAGCTTGGACATCTACCGCCATTTTGAGGGGACTGCAGGAGTGGCCCAAAGGGCTTCAAAAAGCAAACAGCCACACATTATAGTACCAAGGACGCTATTGGGTGGAGGCCATCGCTTATTAGGTGGAGGCCATCGCTAGTAGGTTGGAGGCCATTACTACTAGTAACAAGAAGCTACTATATAGTAGCTTTGAAGTGTTGTCCGCCCTGTTTTTGATTCGGCTCGACAAGAAGCTTGGAAAATGCGGGTTCTGAGTGTCGATGAGCTCAAACCATGCAAACGGCCTTCCATGCAAGAAACCTCCCATCCAAGTGGCATGCAGGAACTGAACTGGAACAAGGCTGTTGAAAAGAGTCTCAGTAACCAATGGCCTCAAAAAAAGGACAAAGAGTTCCCAACTGACTGAAGCCAGCAACCCAGCTAACTACATTGCTCTCCAATAAATTGCTCTCTCCCAGCAGGAATGACAGCCTCCCCGTTCCCCAAACCCTGGCCTTTCGTCAATGTTGCTCTGCAACTGCTGGATTTCATCCTGTTCAGCCTTGCCGGTCTTTGTGGCAAAGCTGGCATCACTGCTGCGTTCAATGCAGGTCTCTCTTCGCCAGGATCTCTATATTACACACAACTGCATTCGTCTTGCCTAGTTCAGACACACATGATGACAGGGGCTACTCATAACGGGTCAGCAAACCATCAAAATATAGGAATCCGCGGAACGTTTGCTTATGATGCTTGGATGCAATAGGAACATCTGGTTGACGACCTCCTAGCTCGAGTTGTTGACCGACAGACTTGGGCAGGAGCGCAATGGCAAGTATTTACAAACAACAACACTTTGTATAAGTCGGTGCTGACGTCAGATCTATGTGGAGGGCGGTGATCCCTCTTCTTCACCATTCACTTCCCTTGTGTGGTTAACAAGTCAAAGACCATTCCATAGGTGAGCGACCCATGCAAACAACACCAGGCACACGAATTAGGTTTAATGCTAGTGTTGCATCCTGTCAACGGCCACCTTCAAATCTGAATGTGTATGTATACCACACAGACGTTCCGAAAACTCTCTATAGCAGCCAATCGGCCAAGTGGTCCCGCCTGCTGCATTCGCATGCGGCTGAGCCTCTGATCGTAGAAATCCTTCTTTGCTTGCACCAGCGCCTGCAGAGATGAGAGCGACCTGAAATGAACATCTCCGAGCAGGTCTTGCAACCCATCCGACCTCCTCTCTTTCCTGGCACGTTGGCATCCCAACATTACAACACAGTTTCCGCTGTTTCAAGCCATCACTATCAAGTGGCGCTGGGAAAGCCGAGGGGATCGAAGTGCAAATGCTGCAATGGTACGACAAGGTCATGAAACAAAGCACCTGCATCATCTCATCCAGCACCCTCTTGGCCTCATTTCAAGACACATCAATGCACACATGCCTGGGAGGACAGTAGGCTGAAATGGTCAGCATCAGGGCTCCCGATCAAGATGGGCTTCGTCATGATGAATCTGCCTTTGTCGCACATAAATGATGCCTGCCCTAAATTGTGCACTGCTGGGGCCCAGGTGTACCCTAGACGTCACTGGCTAGCGGCTGAAGGTGGGCCAAAACACTGCATCCGATTCCAGGTGCTCAGACGCCAATCGTCTTTTCTGCTCCACTGCGTGTACCATTCCTCCTTCCCCGGCACCTGCGGCTTCCACTTGATTCTGAAATTGAACTGGTCTGCCAACGATGCAAGTTTGATGTCCGCTAATCTGGCATCTGATGTGTCTCCGTGTCTATATGTTTCTATATATATTATATATTATATATATGTGTGTGTGTGTGTCTTCTCTGGCCATACTGTGCATTGGCAGAAACTTTGCAAGGCTCTTGGCCCAGTCTAAGCGCCTTAGATATTAAGCTATAGCTGCTTACTGAAAATGATGTTGGCCTGCCATGGGCTTGAGCTTGCGGCCGACAAATGCTTCGACCTACAAACAAAACAGTTTCAAGTCTTCGGTGGTTGGCTGTGAGTCGACGTACTCATCTCATCTACATAACGAGTACAGCGGCTCAGTATCCAAGCGGCTCAACCCCGAATATCCAAGAAAAGAACTTCGAATACCCAAAGCCTCATGACGAGTGTGAACGGCGTCCTGCAACACACCATCACCAAGCCTATGTGTGTAGTAGGACGTGTTTGGTGTCAAATCAGCGTTCTCAACCGGTTTCTGTGAGAATCTGCAACCCTATTGAAACAATGAAGTGTCTGAAATATCCTCACGACCTGGCTGACCTAGCCATACCTAGCCTACTGGTGCATCTCATGTTGCATTGCCTGCCACTTTGGTTGCCACTCCCTTTGCCAAGAAATGGTCACACCATGGACAGCAACAACCCGAAACAGTCCTCTGATAGCTTGTTGACCTTAGTGGCATTTATCCCGTCAAATTTTCATTAAATTAAAGCTAGTTGTCCCTCTGCTTTGCTATTCCGTCCAGCTCTGAATCATCGAATCCTCTCGTGCTTTGCGTTTGTTTTCAAGCTGGAAACTTAGAGCCAAGGCCAAGTTTTCAGATCTTTGGCAGAGGATTCGTCCCTGCAATTAGCTGTGAACATACAGCTCACTGCAACAAAACGAATCCTGGCTAGAGCGTCTAGGCCCTAGCGGCTAGGCCTAGCGGCTAGGCAATGCAAAAAGAATCTGATTCTGATTGCATTCCTTGAAAGTTTGACAATCTGAATCTGAGTCCTCGTTCACCGGCCTGTTCCACCTCCGACTCACAATCACGAAGGAACTTGGCCTGCAGTTGTCTCCCCGCATCACTCGAAACTCCACTGATTCGATAAATGTGTCTAGGCACTGAGGGGCATGAAATCCAAGAACTAGCATTACAGCAAGAGCCAAGAGCTAGATTAAACATGTAAAGCGCTGATCAATGCTTTGAAAGAAAGATTGGTTCATGCAACCCCGTTGCTGATCCTCTGGGTGACTGGCCAGCTCAGGCTCTCGTTCCCGGAAGTTTTCGAACCTGCCAGCTAGACCCAAGATCAGAAGATAGACGATTATATATATATACTGCTTGATCCGGGTGACTTCCTTCATCCTTTGGTCTTTCTTCCGTTGCGGGTGTGATGAACCCACAGGTTGCCCAACTTGGCAAGTCTGGTTCCAGGGTCAGAGCTTTCTTTCATGTCACAAACAATGTCTGTAACAATGTCATGCATTCCCCCAATGGATCAGAAGAAATGTGAAACTCCGCGCAGCGCAGCACCAAGCTCATGACCATTCATCTAGGTCCGACAGCTGCTCTTGTCGCTCCTTCGTTTGCAATCGATTGAGCCTTGGGCTAGGCAGCAGCGAAGTGCAGCAACATGGCATAAGAGCAGCTTTAGCTGGCTGCTTCTGTGTCACAGCATCGCACAAACCAATTGACAAAGCCATGAAAATGCCTAGGGCCTAGAACAGCTAAGCTGCCCACCAAGCATCGATCTTCCCTCGGTCTTTGTTCAACCTCAAGCGAAAGCCGCTGGCATTTCGCTCCTTCCCTTCAACTTAGCATAGCCTCACCAAGGTTTCTCTCCAACAAAACCTCGAGGTCTCCCGGCACACCTTCCAAACCATCCAGGAGTCTGAGCCGATGAAAGTCCTCAGCATACAGCTTTCACGAAAGGCAGAACTGCAGACTGCAGCCGTTCTTAGTGCGGTTGGAGCCATAGTCATAGTCCATTTGGCAACAATGCACACAACCCAGTTCATTTGTGGCGGCGAAAATGGCATGACCCTAGCCAGCACTTGGTTGCACATGATTGCCTGCCCCATCAGCCCATCGGAATGCAGTTTTCAAGAGGTACTCACTTTTGTCATGGCTTTCTGCCAGTGAGCTTTGGGTATGTGTGGGTGGAAGAGTGTGCCAGGCGCGGCGACAAAAATGTCTAAAGAGGCGCTTATAAGCAATTAACAATTAAATTAACAAAGACAAACATCACAAGAGCAGCTGCAAGTGAACACAACATGAGAACGTCAAAGAATGCAAATATTTAGTGGAGGCAACCTACTGATACACCAACCAAACGCTTCATCTACAGTTCTGTCTGGCAAGATGCCGCACCAAACACTTCACTACAACTTCTCGAATTGGATTCCACAAAAAGATCTACATAAGTTCCTCAAACCTGGGCAGCTTGCCAAAGAATAGCCGGCCTCCAGTGGAGCATTGTTGGCAGGTAGTGGAGGTCGCTGAGGGTCATCTGGTGGAAGCTGGTCCGGCCTCGCCCTCGGAACCACATGCTGCAACAGCAATAACCCACTGTGCAAGGATATTGGAAAAGGTACAGTAAGTTATAATACTCAATACTGTTGTATTGCTTTTCAACGGCAATTGGTGGAACGTTGAAGTTGTTGACACAACAGACTTTGAGGTCCAAGCTCATACTCCCGGGCCTCCGCAAGAGAGGTTCTTATTGTAAAATTAACAAACCCAGGAAACACAAACCAACAAAGGATCACCATGATTCACACTGGTGATTACATGAAGAAGCCTTCCAACCAGGCACATTCAAGCTGTGCTTTGGCCTTCATCTGCTTGGCACGTTCGAGCTCAGCTGGGCTGTAGACACTGGCGCAAAAGCATGTCTCCAACACAAGGGCCCCTTTAAAGGACCCTGAAGTTGTTTTTCATTTATGTCTATATATATCAATCTTTTCTATACGTCTGTTCCAAAACCACAACAAATGCCAGGGCGACCTGGATACAGAGCCCATGAGCTTCTCGCATTCCTCTCTGGCCTGGCCCAGATCTCAAGGAAGAATTCGCATTCCGCTGCTCACGTGTCTGCACAGCAGCAATGAAGAGGCATTCGTCGGCAATGCCAAGAAGTATGAAAATGCGATTCTACAAATTCTACACGTTCCCGCTGCTGCTTGATGGCCGCTTTGTTTGTGCTGAAGCTCTTTGGGTCCATGTACGGGTTCAATGCGCGGAAAGTCAAAGACAAAGACCATCGCACTTGACCTCCATCCCAACCTCATCACCTTCCCTTGATCACGTCGTTGGGTTAAACATTTCTTGAGGTTCTGGCCACCTTTGCCAACTGGACCGGAGTCAGCCTCGAGGCAGGAGGAAGAGTCTAAGACTGCGGCGCAACCGGAACTCAGATGGCGACAGGAAGGATTGCATAAGAGGTTACTTCAAAGAGGCTGCAGTTCACGATCATTAACTACAAACCACTCGTTTCCGCGTACATGCGCACGCAGAAACACACCCGTGATTTTGTATGCGCGTATATGTGTGTCGCCTTGATGTGCTGCCTTTTGCTGTGGATGCCTCACCAGGTCATGACAGCTCAGATCCCATTGCACGTGACAGCTCATGATGAGATGGCTTAAAACCCAACCGAACCTCCTTCCCAAAGCGCAAGCTGCGTGGCGGCAACTGTCCTGTCTGATGATCATCTGATGTGTTGTTCAAAGGTGATTTTTGGCCGCTGGTTGTGCAGTATCAACATCGCAGCTCCACATGATCTCTTCAATTTTTCAACAAGCTCCTGATGAGCGCACAGGTGAGGCCATGTCACTTTGATGCAGCAAGTCAGTCCTTGCAAGCCGTGGGACCTTTAAAACCGCAGTAAGTGACGAATCCTTTGGGGGTTTCAGCAGTTGAATGGCCAAAGTGCCTTGAAGTGCCTCGAAGTGCCTTGAAGTGCCTTGAAGTGCTCCGATGGTCTTGGGATGTCTTCAGTTTGTGGAGATTGCTACAGAACGTGGTGGATCCCCACGGTGTAAGCTGAAGACTTTTATGAACACCTCAAGTGATCATGAGGCTGCCATGTACCAATCTCAAATGCATGTGACGTGCGATTCTTGTGTAATTCTGATTCTTTTGAACCACTGCATTGGTCGTTTCCTCAAAGCGGGCGGCAATTGCAACACTAGGGTCCGCTCCACAAGTCTGTTCGGCATCACACGCCGAAGGCCACGTCTGTTTAGAAATATGCAGCCAAACATCAAACACCCCTTCAATATCCTTCAATCCCCTTGCGCTCATCTCGTTTTCCAAACCGGATTCCTAGTTGATTTCCTGCCTCCGACTCGCCGTTTGCGCAAACGGCCCTAATCAAGATCAGGGCAGTTCAGCCATGGTCAGCTGCGCTGATATGTTTGTAGAAGTCAGGACCGTCTGGTCCACGACAGGGTTGCAGCAAACTACATGGAAGCAGTCTTTTTGTAAATACAGAGGAGGAACGCTAAGAAGATGCAAAACTAAACCCACATCTCCGCATCCTCATCGTCATGCAGGAACTACTTTAGAAGCATCTCTCAGCTAACCGTCACTAACTTGCCCTCCAAACTCTGTAGGATTGCTCGCAAACATCGTGCGAGCGAGGAGCACTGCAAATCAAGACAGCAAATGTTACGTTCAAACTTCACAATACAAACAAAAATGATGTTAAGCATCACTGCACCCAAGAAGGCAATACAATAGTTTTGCGTTTGGCAACTTCACTTGTCAGCGCCTTGCTTTACTTTGCTGTAATGAAGTGCCCACCCTCATTACAAAAGTTTCAGCGGGGACAGGGAGTCTGCCTTTCAGACCCTGGTTCAAATCCGCAGCAATTGCGAACCAAGTGCTGTATCGAAACGAAAAATTGTCCACAGATCCAGCTTCATCACACCTCTCAGCCATCACGTGCTTCACCGTAGCTTGCGTCAGCAAGAAACACAGCATGAGTGGAAGGGGTGTCTGCATGGCTTCCTGCGCTTTGAAGTGCGATGCCAAACCCAGTGGCTTGCCTCAATGACATCTTGTGGTCGGGACAAAAACAGTGCCGCGGAGATTTTGTTGTTTGGCTCTTCTCTGGCAGCCTGCAACTTACAAATGCAAACAACGGCAGCTTGCAAGCTGCATAGCCAGCATTGGCGTTGGAGCTCCAAACAACGCTTCAGTCTCATTGAACTGGGAACTGCTCAACACTTCGGCCCAAGAGGCTCCACAGGAGAAGTTATTTTTGGAAACACCGTATCCAAAGAAACCTTCTCGGCAATTGGCCACGGTGGTCGGTTTTTGAACTGATGGTATAGTATAGTTAGTAGGAAGTCACGCTAGCTTCACCATAAGAGCACGGCCAAAACATTAAGGACGAGCAGGCAGAGGGTCTGGAAAGACACTATCCACAAGGTCTGCAGCTGCAAATTAGGATGCAAACTGGAAGGCGTCCAAGCATCTTGCCTAGGTCACCTGCCACACCTTTAAGTGAGCATGTCCAGGCTGGTCCAACACAACCCGAAGAGGTCTGTGGCCCTCCTTTTGATGAGGAAAAGATTATGCAAATTTTTGACGTTTCAGGTCGTGCCCCTTTTTTCGGCGCATTTTTGGCCCAGGCAACTGTTCTTCGCCAAAAGCCCCTTCTCAAGCACCCATCCCGCCCATGCCACCATGACCTTAGAGGAAGGAACCGGCCCCGCATTCTTCCGGCTCTCAAATTCTCAATGCTCAAAGAACCTTGTTCCTCGTGCATAGCTTCTTGCTCCTAGTAGTGCGCCGGGAGCCCCTAGTAGCCCTAGTATAGCGTCCTTGCTCCTAGTAGCGATGCCAAGAGCCCCTAGTAGCGCCCTTGCTCCTAGAGCTTCTGAGCTTCCCAGCTTTGCACCTCGAAGTCTTTTTCAGTGGCATCCGAGTCTGAACTCTGCGGAGCCCCATTTGGACCCACGATCTCCACGGCAGGCACGCTCAGCTCCTGGACTCGGAGCATTCAAAGTGAGCGGAAGAAACCAAAACGGCCAAACCGTCCCGCAACAGTTTACTAAGGTCTGCTGAGTGCAGTTTTCTTCGTGGAACAACAGCACGGGCACCGTTGCCACCTGACACGGTCGAACACGCACACCGACCCTTCAGGCAGCCTTTTGGGTTTCTCTCCACGGTGGTCGTCGTTGGCGTTCTCCCGCCGTGACGCCCCAGCAGGTGTTCATTCCCTGCCCTGCTCATGCTCTGAAGGCCGTCCTTTGGCCCAGGCTGTGAAAAAACGGTTTCACAGGTCGTTTGCTGGCCTGTGTCGTTAAAACAAAAAATTCGAGCCGATACCTCACGATATCGTTCTCTCCAACGCGTCACTTCGCACACGTTCTGTGCTACACGACACGGTCGAACACTCACATCGACCCTTCAGGCAGCCTTTTGGGTTTCTCGCCACGGTGGTCATCATTGGTGTTCTCCCATGCTGGCCGCCTTCCACCGTAGTCGCCGGCCCAAAAGCAGCTGCCATATCGGAGCCCAGCGCCATGGCTTTCTGTAAGTTCGAGGTGGTCGATGCCAACCTCCTGTAGCGCCATTGAGACATCTTCTCGGCTGACAGGGTCGGAGATGTTGGCGGCGCTGGTCACCCGGCGCCAGTGTGGAGAGTGCTTGCATCCTCCAATGAAGCTCCAAACACCAAAGGGTGAGTCAACTTGGAAGGGCAACATCCTTCTCTAAATTTTACCCCTGCATGGCCCACAACAGGGTGAGTCAACTTGGCATGGCCACTTCCTTATCTAATTTTGACCCCTGCATTGCCCGCACAAAGGGGTGAGTCAAGTTGAAATGGCAACATCCTTCTCTAAACTCTAAATGTTACCCCTGCATTGCCGACAAAAGGGTTAGTCAACTTGGAAAGGCAACATCCTTCTCTAAACTTTACCCTCAGCTTGGGAGGGCCTCTTCCTTCTCTAAATTTTACCCCTGCATTGCCCACAACAGGGTGAGTCAAGTTGGAATGACCACTTCCTTCTCTAAGTTTTACTCCTGCATTGCCCACACAAAGGGGTGAGTCAAGTTGAAATGGCAACATCCTTCGCTAAATTTTACCCCTGCATTGCTGACAAAAGGGTTAGCCAACTTGGAATGGCAACATCCTTCTCTAAACTTTACCCTCGGGTGGCTCACCAGAGGGTGAGCCAACTTGGAAGGGCCACTTCCTTCTCTAAATTTACCCCTGCATTGGCCACAAAAGGGTGAGTCAAGTTGGAATGGCCACGTCCTTCTCTTCCCTCGGGTGGCTAACCAAAGGGTGAGTCAACTTGGAAGGGCAACATCCTTCTCTAAATTTCACCCCTGCATGGCCCACAACAGGGTGAGTCAACTTGGCTTGGCCACTTTTCTCTAAATTTTACCCCTGCATTGCCCAAGTGACTTTCTCACTCATTCCACCAGTCACTCATTCCCTCACTCACGCACGCACGAGCGCACGCATGCACTCACTCAGTCACTCACTCACTCACTCACCCACTCACTCACCCTCACTCACTCTCACTCACTCTCACTCAATCTCACTCTCACTCACTCTCTCACTCACTCACTCCATCAATCACTCATTCACCCACTCACGTACGCTCGCACGCACGAACGATAAAAGTGGCAAGTCCAACTTGACTCACCCTTTTGTGGCCAATGCAGGGGTAATAGTAAAATTTAGAGAAGGAAGTGGCCCTTCCAAGTTGGCTCACCCTTTGGTGAGCCACCCGAGGGTAAAGTTTAGAGAAGGATGTTGCCATTCCAATTTCAACTTGACTCACCCCTTTGTGTGGGCAATGCAGGGGTAAGTTTTAGAGAAGGAAGTGGTCATTCCAACTTGACTCATCCTTTTGTTTGAGGCAGCAAGTCCGCGTGTACAGTTGAGGCATCCCATTCGCGTGTACAGTTGACTCACTTTTCGCGTGTACAGACGAGGTGCCGGCCCTCCCGGGTCTCTGGCAAGCAAGGGCGCCAATGCGTCCAGAGCTGGATCGTCTGGATCAGAGTGGTCCACATCCCAGTGGCCTCCAAGAACGGCTTCGACCGGAGGTCCGGGGGGCTATAGAACAGGTGAAAGTGATGTTCCAGGCGAATGTCCGCCACCGCCATCTCGTCCGGAGCAGCCCGAGCTTGGGCCAGTGCTGCTGTCGCAAGCGGTACGGTGCCATGGGTCCTGTTCACGTATTGGACCCTGCTCCAAGCCCACAAGGCCTCCTTCAAGATCAGCATGCGGTCCCAGTCGTCTAGGTAAGTCCTACCCCATGCCGTCATCGGGGCCAGGAGAGGACATCGCACGATGCCAAGGGGTTTCACACCCCAAAAAGGAATTCGAGCCGATACCTCACGATATCGTTCTCTCCAACGTGTAACTTCGCACACGTTCTGTGCTACACAACAATGACGAAACGACCCTTTCGTGATTTCTGCAAGTCAGCACTTTTAAATCTGCCACAAGAAGACAGCGGACCAGAGCACAGACCGCCAAACTCAAGTCCGTCCTGCGACCACTCGGTTTCTTCACTGTCTAGGGAGTCTAAAGCGCTGTTCATTCCGCTCTCGAGGCCAAAGTCCTTAGCTTCTTGTTACTACTAGCGATGCCAGGAGCCCCTAGTAGCGTCCTTGCATGTCCTTGCTCCTAGTAGTAAGGCCAGGGGCCCCTAGATTGAACTGTCATGCTGATGGAGTATGTTTGTGTTTGGCCAGCTTAGTGATTGCGTCGTTTGTATCTCGTTGTCACCATTCTGGGCCCCCGGCTGACTCTTCAAGGTTTTCAGACTTCCGGAAGGCCCACCCAGTGTCAGCTGACAGCTTTGGCTGCGACCTACATCAAGATCTAGTCAAACAAACCAACAGTGTCTTCAATGAAACTGAAGGACAACACCAGCCACGAACTGCTGGAAACAAGTTGTAAGAGAGTGCTTGGAAAGAAAGTTCTACTTTGTGTGCTGCGATGCTCTTGTGTCAGCTATTTCTGCTATCGGCCAAATTGATCGGATACGGGTCGTCAGTAACACCAACGCACAATCTCCAATCTCACTAACAGCATCACCTCTGCACCATTTCACCATGCTCATCCTCCTCCATGAGGATCAAGTCCTCGTCAATGTCCAACAATCAAGACGTGGACACGAATCAGCGAGTCCGCCCACACGTCAGTCCTTGCGTGTGATGATTCCACCTTGAGCGAAACAGCAGACTCTAGCTGACTGGATCTGGGAGAGCAATTACGAAAGCGGGAGGATTGAGACCCTCTTCATCTGTACAACTTCATGGAACGCTAGGAGCGGCACAAAGGTCGCCATCACTATCCACCACAGGCAAATGTCGAAGGCCCAAGCGTCGAAAAAGCAAAAAAGCGCTGGCCATTGAAGCCTGAGGCGGAATGCTGTAGCCATTGCAGCTCACATACCTTAGACAGATCCAATGCTGTGTTCAGAGGCTTAGTCGTTTTGTTTTGTAATGGTCATTGTCTTTTCTGTTCAAGCAACGGTCGCAAGTCCATATACTTCTGCCGGTCTTCTGTACTCAGCTTCTTTGAAAGACTCTTGATATCCGGGTAGGAATGGATGTTTGGCCAAGCTATCGCCTGACCCGAATGGGACAACGAACTGCTCAATAAACTGCTCAACTATCTAGACCATGATGGTGAAACTCAGTCTTCTCTGAAGGCAACTACACTGGTTTTGTCTTGCCACACAACTCACCACCATCAGCCTGAAAGAAACATTGAAAGAAGTGTAGTTGAAAGCAGACAAGGTGTGTGCACTGCACCCCTCTCATCTTTCATCGAGAAGGATTTCATGAAAGATAAAGCGCTGCGCACAAAGCCTCAAATGGGACCAGCGATCCAATCGGAGCATCTGGAGTGTCCTGGAACATCCCATAATAGCGACCTTGCAAAGTCGATTTCTCTGGATCATTCTTGTACCAACCGTGGATTGGTTTTCAGACCTGATGACTCGGCAATCGTAGCAGTCGTGAGATTTTGGGAAAAAAACATGTTGCCCCTCTACTTCATGCAAGTGGCAAAGCAAACAAGAAATGTATATATATATATACGTATATATAAATATATATATATAACTACATAAAGACAGCGGTAACTAGCTGCTAGCCCCATTCCCCCCATTGCTGCCATATTCCAGCTTTCACCAGCCTCTAGCCAAGAGCAAATGCAGAAAGCCGCGCTCAATCAATCCCTGGGACAGAACTGTTCGTCTTGCATAAAATTAGTGGTCCAAAACTGAAGTGAAACTTCTTCGGTTTCACCTCCATTTTCATTGTGCCATTCTCCAGGACAGGGAAGCCATTGTGGTTGCAAGAGCGCAAAACGTCCACAATTCGCTGTACCTGCAGGGTCGTGAAAAAACTCAGCCACAAAGGCAAGGCTGCAAGTTCTGTGTCTTTTCTCGTTGCATTTTCGTGCCTTCTCCACGCCCTGCAGGGACACCACCTGCGCACCACAAAGCACTGGGTTAACATGCCAAGGAACTGCAGAATAATCTGGCCATACTGCAGCCCATCACAGAGTGTGGGCCAAAGAGGAACGAGTGAATGTGTTGAGGTGAACGATACTGAATGACTGCACTTGCATGATGCCTGACTCGCCATAATGTCCTTCACGGCATACCGGACCATAACGTCTGCAGGTGATTGCTCAAGGAGTGGGATCTGTTTCAAATCAATGATGTGCAGGTCGTAAATGCCGCGATTGAAATAGTCGCCTGCGGGAAAGGAAGAAACAAAACATGTCAGCTTCAAAGACTTCCATAATTGCATGTATGCATATATAGATATATGTGTGTGTGCGTGTTTTGTCCTTATATATAAAAAATGTCTGCCGCAACATTGCATTGGGACTGTCAAGTTGTGCCGCGCCTACCCAGGTAGCAATGACCACGACCATAAAGATTGGCAGGCCGAAGATGCCGGTACCAGTGGCCTCCGTCAGGATCATCGCCAAAGAAATCGTAATCCTGGAGCCACTCAGGGTTTTCAAGAAATAAGACTTACTGTAATTAAATAGGCACCTAGGAACAAGTGCATCGCTACTAGTAATAGGTGCCACGCTACTAGGAACAAGAAGCTATTAAAAACAATAAGCTACTAGGAACAAGTGCAAAAGGGGGACTAGTTCGCTCCTAGGAACAGTACGCAGGATAGCTCACGCTAATGATTTGGTTCCTAGATGTTTAGGGAATCTGGATGAAACTGGCCCTTGTGCTCCTTTTGATATATATTGTGGGGTAAATGCCATGAGTGTGCTGTGCCCAGCACAAAGGGTTGGAGTTTCACTCGCCAGCTTGGCAAAAGGCACAGAAACGGCCTCTCCTCCTTCATACGTGTCTTAGGGCCTTAGGGCCTTAGGACTTTTGGGCATCAAGAGGTCCTCCCAACTCCTGCCAACATAGCACATGCTCCAACCAATGCATAGATGCCGGGATCAGCGGGGCCGACAACCTTGAAGAGTGAACACGCTATAGTATAGCAGCAAACTATATAAGTAACATAAAAAAAAGAATAATACAATACTATATGACTATATGTCATAAAATGTAGTAATATATTATAGTATAGCATATTGTAAAATGGCATCAATATACAGTATATATATAATACATATTAAAAAGTATATATATATAGTGTATATATATACAGTATATACCGTCCTTCTGGACTATACACTGTCAAATCATCATGAATGTCAAGCAATGCGCCTGCGGCAATTCGGCCTGAAGCACTTCGCCTACGAAGCGGCCCAGCACTGCACCAGTCAGCAAGGATGGAACGAAGAGCCCAGCAGGGACACCAAGACCAAACCTTGGACGCAAAATGGGTGTGTCTAAAAGCTGAAGTTGAAGCAAGTCCTTTATCTTGTAAGTGCCGGCTTTTCATTGCGCACATGGAGCAACCGCTCCAAGTCCCAATTGAAAGTGCAAGATACGTCCAGCAGGTTGTGGCGAGGTTGAAGAAGCCGAAGAGGATCAGCACGCCCAGTTCATGGAACCCCCTGTGACAAGCCTGGTGTGGGAGGTGGACACCCACACTGCTCTCCGTCGCATTGTTTTTGCAGTGGAAAAGGTCACCTGGCAGCAAAACACAAACCAGAAGTCAGCACACCTGGAAACTGTCATGTCAAGGTTCTTAGATTTGGATTGCATGTCACATGCAGTCCTGAATGCCACATCGCCAAGTGCAGACAAGATTCGGATGGAAGCCTGCCCTCCCTCCAACCAAAGCTGCTGGGTCTGACTGAGCTCATCAAAAATTAGCGGCTGCCAGCCTGTTTTGGAAATTTGGCAAATAACCGCTCAATTCTCAGTTCTTTCACTGAGTTTCACGTGAGACATGTCTTCGCCTTCTCCATTCATTCCAAGGACCACAGATGGTATCCAGAATTTCAAGGAGGCAATGATGAACGTGACGCAAAGCACCTTCAGGCGGCTCCAACCCTCAGCCTGCTCCTCTAGCCCACGACCAAAGCATTCATAGTTGCCAAGTTCAGCAGGCTATAGCAGGCTATATAATTAGCGGCTACAGTAATTGAGCTGGGGAAGCCTACATTTGAGTCACAGTGCACCCACCTCGAAAAAGCGTTTCCAACCAGTTGGGCCGATGCAACGCTTCCTCCACCTGCCAACAAGCTGAAGCAATGGTTGCTTACCGCATCTTGAGAAAAGGAAAAATATTCACAATGTCTGCCACCCAAAATCTGCCTGCTCAAACGGCCATTGAAGTGGTTGAAGGCCGCACCCAGCAAGCCACAAACAATACCAATGAGAGCGAAAATAAACATCTCCAGAAAGTTATACCTTGAGTCCCATCTTCCAACAGACAGCGGCCAAGCACATGGGTGGCTGTAGAAACTGAAAGCACGTGTTGAATTTGAGTGGCCAAACTCAAATTGTACAAGGTATGTTAAGACACACTTAACTCTGCTTAACTGGTACGTGGTTCAATTGTTTTGTGCTCAAGAATTTGCCCAGCTTGATCACGTGGGGTACTTTGGGTGTCCACACGCAACACAATACACCGCAAGCTGGACTCAAAAGGCCTGTCGAAGTGCAAGTCTCACATCATCTCACATCCCTCCCTTTCTTTCTGACCCCTCTCAGAGTTCCTATGTCCCATTTGTTCCATGCTGTTCCAATTTAGACAAGGAGCGAGACCTCAGTGAAGCGACCAAAGCTGACCGGCACCCCAGTCCCCAACCTCAGTGAAACGAAGAAGCTCACCAAGAAGCTCACCGCGAGGTCTGAAGTCACCAAACTCACCAAGAGAATCCAAGAGACAAGCTCCAAGGGTGGCCACTGATGATAGGGCCCAGAGTGAGGCGTGTAACCAATGTGGCCACCGAACTTGAGACGAAGAGTTGTGTCAGGATCCTAGACGAACGGAAAACTCACTCACATCACGCAGTAGCAAGAAGCTACTAGTAACAAAGCACCTTACTTAACTACTAGTTTACTAGTAACGAGAAGCCACGGAGTCACGGAGTCACATTGCATACTTTCTCTGAGGCATCGTCCTTGGGGACATATGGGATGCGCCTTCTTCCACCGCAAAGAGAACCGCCCCAATCGGTGCACCAAAGGCCGCACTGACACCAGCCGCAGCTCCAGCCGCGACAAAGTCTCGGGTCTCCACCTCACCAATGACATTGAGAGCATAGTGTCTGGAAATTCTCACAAAACGACCGGGACAAAAACAAAACAAGCTTCTCACAATACTCTCCATCTTGATGCACCACGACCAGGGCAAATGCTAGCATTTCTCAATTTGATGATTTCTCACCAAGATGCATCAAGGTTCAGGGGACGCAAGCGCCGCTCTAAGTTGAAACACCTCAGTTCTTCCATGATCTGAAGTTGTCAACAAAGGAACTTGCATCATTCCTGCTCCTTCTGATCCAAATTGGTCGAGCAACGTGACCATTGCACCAACGATGGCACCGCTATGAATCATCGGCCCTTCCTTGCCACAAGGCAAGCCTGCAACCACCTCAGCGCTGGCCAGTAAACCTCTGACTCTGAGTGTAAATGCTGGTGTTGTTCCTGGACTTGGCCTTCAGAAAAGGTTTTCTCCAAGGATCTCCTCACCACAACACATCAAATAATTCAATCTGCAGGCTCGAAAGCTTCAAACAAGTTGTTCCCATCCTACACAACGCTCTTACTCAACTTCTGACTGCCTGCGCCGGTTTCATCTGTCTCCAAATGTCTCCTACACCATAACTTAATGCCTCCGCCACTGTATGATTCCTTGCTATTGTACCCGTGTCCCAACGGCTCTGGGAGGCCCAACCGAAAAAAACGATGCCGACAGCTTTTGCAAACAGAGTTTTTCCAGAAACCAGCTTCGGCAGGTGAATTCCATTCCTTAGTTGCTGTGATTTTCAGGCATTGTAAAAAATATACAACAATACAAACAAAAATTTGCATAATTCTTGCACACTTTCATGTTCAACCTTTCCTTCCCGTGGTTGCAAAACATGAAGCCAAGAAACAGGAAACACTTGATCTCGGGGATGCCACTACCCGCTGCCAAGACCTCTACAAAGCAGACTAGAATGCCTGCTATTGCTGCCGCACCTCAGGCAAGGGTCTGTCCTCAAAAAAAGTCCTGGAAATCTTCCATGCTGACAAGTGAGCTGCTGGATTACGCAGATTCTAGCGTGCAACTGTAGCCATCCGGTCGGCAGCGATTTCTGGAACGCTCCACTACATGCCAGGCAAGTTGCATAGACAGAATCCAATGTCACAAAGGTACTGAGCTCCGAGAGACTCGGTGCTTCTACCCACTAGATCCAGCAGCTTGAGTTTCTCCTTGGGAATCAAGGCAGGTTTGCAGGCTCAACCGCATTGAATCCTTCTATAAAATTGCCCGTCAACCCCGCGGTTGACAGTGAATACGCTTCCCCCTGTTGGACCTTGCATCTCAAACCCCAGAACTCCAATGTTGGATCTTATGTCAGGTTTGTTTCATCTTGATCCGCCTTTTCATTATCTCCGCTCTAATGTCACGATTCTGAAGGAAACATGGCACACGAACATGGCGCTCATCAACCAACATGGACAGGACATTCCACACTCCCGCTGCCTCCAGCAAATAGTGCAATGAGAGCTCAACAGCCACAGCGACCTTGCAAAAAGATTGAACAAACATTCATCAAAGGTGTTGTTTTTCTTTGGTGTTAGCACGGGGTTGACTTGCAAAAACGGACTTGGTCTGTGTTGAAGGAACAAATCGATGTGGTTGCCCTCAACCGCCAATAGACTCCACTGTGTTAAGCGCGTCCAAAACACCAGCCCGGCTCCAAGGCCAATCAAGACCAGCAAAAGCCAACGCATAGCACCGAAAGATAGCCATATGCTTTGAGTGAAGCTTTTGCTGAAGAGCCCGATTCGATCAAAGTAGTCCTCGTCAAACAAATATCCGAGCGTCTTAGGAGGTCATGCGTTCACTTCTCGTTTGTGAAACCTGCATGCTGAAGGCATCAAAAATCTGATCGCGGGTCTTTGAAAAGGAAAAGAGTTCAAAATGCCACCGAGCCCATTCACTTCGATTCGTGCATTCGGGGTTCGACGTGCTGCGCTGACTCATTGACCCCATACCTTAGCTCAAAACCGAAATCCTTGTTCAATAATTACATGTATCACTCCAGGCCAGTTTGATGTGGTTTGAAGCCTGCGACCAAGCCACCCAATGGATTCAGTTCCAGCTGGTGCATCCAAGAACCTGCTGTAGACACGAGGTTGTACTGCGATACCTGAGTCACTTCGGGGCACTGAAACCCCGAGCATCCTAAAGGTGAGAACGTCATTCACCCGATCAAGCACTGAAGACTTCAAGACAAGAGTCGTGACAAATACCGTTTCGTTCCTGGCACCACCATGCCGAACAAAGAAGCTGGTTTTGGGCAAACAGCCCGGTGCAGCCCTTGCTCTGATTGGGAAACCGGTGAAATGATGTGCCATGTTCCTTTATTGCATTTTTGAAGGCGTTCGCAAAGCAGCAACCTGCCGGATGAGTTCAGTAAAGTCGGACTGTGCACAAAACAGACTGGGGCGGTTTGTCTTCTTCATGGTGTTCTCCGAATACCTTTTGGGCCAGCTGCGGGCACATGTACACGCACACACATGCACACAATATCACACAATGCAATGGACAACCAAGATTGCCAGTCGAACAAAGTCAACCACTGCTGCGTTGCACAAGCCATGCCACGGAGCCAAGCAACAGACCCTGACATAAATGAAGAAACGGGTATGGTATATATTATATATAATATATGAATGTAAGTATATGATGCTGTGTCAGTGTACGCTTGAAGATCGAAACCGACCACTTTCGTGAGTGGAGGAATTACAGGTTTCCCGCCGTTCTGTTTCTGTTATCGGTCCACTGCTTGACCTCACATGAATCAAACTCCGAGTTGCACTCACAGACCCCTTAGAGGCACAAGGCGTGCAAACATAGAGGGCACTTGGCTCAACTCATGCCTGGACCAGGTGGCCCAACAATCTATATCTGCACAATTTCTGGGAAGCTACGTCCACTTCATGCAAATCTCTTCGGTGGACAATGCGGTGACAGCCCATTCTTGATTTGTAGTTTTGTTGTCGCGTCACTGCTGTCAAAAGGACGGTAGTTGGCGATCATTTGTCAACATGTGTGTTTTGCGAGGATTCGGGACAAAAAAGCCTCAGCAAGTTCATGCATGAGACCATTCACAAGGAGCGCGCACTCACTTTCACTTTCCGTTCGGGACCAAAAAACGTGTTTGCAAATCGCAAGGCTCGCCAGCAACCGTCATCGAAGTCGATGCCCAACCGTGGCACACGACTTTCGCATAGCCCACCCCAAGACCGAAGCGAACTCTCCAGGACTGAGACCACATCCTTGTCTAATTCCTGCGTTACTTTGAAAGTTTTCCTAGTTGGAAACGGCCAGGTAGATTGCAACAAACACATTGCATCACCCAAACCAACTGTTCAGAAATCCGTGAGGCAAGGCGCCATGTATTCCAATCAATTCCGGCAAAAGTTTTGGCACATTGAAGCTTCCCACGGTGGCTTTACGCAGGTCGGCTACATTGGCTACATGTCTGCAGAATATTCCATCAACTGTCTGTGCAACCAGGGTGGGACACACAAAAGCAAGCAGCAAACAGCAACAAGCAGTATCCGGTTCCGGCCGCATTACTTCGCCGAAAGCAACCGCTCGCCCCAACGCAACTTGCAAAAAACACACCAGTAGCAGTGCCCCATGACGACAACCTTCCGCTACGGTCATGGGCCTGGGCTGTCTGGTCGCCATCCAAAAGCCGAATTGCGGGGCACGGGACTTAATCGCGTGCGACTTCTACGACGCGTGTTCAACACCTGACGCAGCCCACACCAGTTCGGCCCCTCCTCCGGGCGGGTTCCGCGGCCCTCATCCACGCACCCCATCTCACCACCGAGACATCTTCGTCTTCCACCACCAGCCGGTAAACAGCATAGAGTGCGTTGCGATCACCTACTTCCATGGCCATCACTTGATTCATTCTCGACGCCATGCCTTGCCCTGTAGGCTGCTAGCTTCTGCAGCCTCTTCAAACTCTCCGCCCTCAACCTCATCAGCTGCTCTTTCAATGGCTCTCCTTCAACCACCTGCAAGCGCTTCACAAAGTTACAAACTGCCATGCTGAGATTGTTCTCGGCATCTCGTACATCAGCTAGGAACCCTCAGGTCAAACGATGTCAAATGTACTGCCGCCATACTTGGATCCTGAGTACATCGCCAGTTGCTTTCTGACCATCTCGCCAAACCATGCCCAGCCGTCCTTGCCACAAATCGGAAGTTGGTCGTCCTCATGTCATTCCCGGTTTGGAGCATGGGCATTCCTTCGTAGCTCTCAAAGCTAAGTTTCTCAGCCAGTCCCGGCAAGGCAGGGAACATTGCGCGACCGAATCCCCCCCTACATCAAGAAGATGCTAATTCAGCTCAGTGGCAAGAAATCCAAGACATTGCCTCATCATAGCAACTTGGAGGTACTTGACCAAGACAACAACAAATACCATGAACGATTGAATGCCTGATCCGATCAGGGCTTGCAAGGCACTCTACACAGCAAAAGGCAGAGCTGTTTTTGAAAACGTTGCCAAGGTACGTTGCCGGAGGAACAATTGGCGTATACGGCTTTGCGACACCTTGGGAGTTCTTTGAGCAAAGATCCCATCCGAGCGTCCTGCACGGCTTTCCTGAATGGAAGCTTGCTTGTTTCGTCATGCGAGTTGCAAAGTTCAGTTGCGCTGCCGGGCAGAAGCAGAGCTTTACGAAAGCTGCGCTGTCACTGCTGAATTTTTGGCAGCCTACTTCGGCCCCTGGTAGTTTCAGCAGAGGTTCAGATGACACAGTGACTGTGCCGTAGTGCGTGACATTATGCAACGCTGCACGGAAAGTTGAAGCCATGCAGTTTGTGTATTCAAAGCCTTGAGGGAAAAGGCGATCAGGTTTGAGAGTTCCCACAGCAATCAACTCAGCAGGTCTCAACAAGTGCCCTCACTCCAACGAAATGTTGCCTTCCTCTCACTTGGCAACTAAATGTAGCAATCTCCGTCTTCCTGCTTTGAGTACAGAATTGTCTGCTTGGCCCCCCCCCAGCCGGGCTGCCAACCCACCCGCCCACATTGCTTCACGGAAAGAGTTGCGTCCTTGACGTTAGCCACATAGGGACATAGACGCAAACACTCCTGGGCTTAGCTTCAGGGTGAACCAGCGGGAGTTGGTCTGAACTGGTCTTCACCTGTACTGTATTGCCCGTCCGGTATTCACACTCCACGATTCGGCAACTTAAACTGTCGATCACCGTTGCGTTTTGATCGTCTCGTCGATTTTCGGGTGAACTTATTGGACGTTTGGAATTTTCACTTTGACCAAATCGAAACTACAAGTCCTTTACACCTTTTGTGTGGAGTGCCTTGTGGGTTCTGTCGTTGACCGTTTGTTAAAAATCAGACCTGACATCTAAACAGCTCCGTGGAAACTGGTCCGGAGATGGAGTCGCCATGTGGTTCACCTACGGTTTGCGACAGAGAGTTGGATGCAGGCTCTCGTTTTCACGGCGTCCTACTCGGACGACTTGGTCTTGGACTTGGACTCTCCGGATCTGAGTCGCAAGGCACAAGCCGTGGTCGATTTGATCCTGTCTCCTTTCCGGCGTTCTGCAGATACGCATGTGCCGATGATGGTGGGCTCTTCTTTTTGCCAAAATCATATTGATGTCTTTAATTTTCGGGCTCGGTGGTATTTTCTGCCGGGTGCTTAGTGCCCAGCACACAAGGAGCAAGACGAATCGGAGTCTTTGTCACCGCCGGACCGATTGTAAAGCCCGGGGACCAAATAACGTAGATGGCCTGTCAGCATTGCGATTAAGCCAACATCCGGGCTTGGACTCAATGCTTGAAGCGGTGAAAACATTGAAAAACCATCGAGGGGCTATGCAAGACACCGTACAGTGACCTGTCATGGCTCGAGTGGGCCGACGACTGACCGGAAAAGGCAGTGCAAGTTGCTGGTGTTGTTTGTGAGGGGCTACACAGCATTACATAGCAGACCTTGGCTAATTTTTGAGTTTCTTAGAACTCAACTCAACTTAACTCCAAAACAATATATAATCCCACTAGCCCGAAATGCAAAAAATTATCTAAAGCGCATTGAGCCCTGGGCATGTTGCTTCCCGCGCTAACCCCGTTTACCCAACATGTTGCAGCACACACGACTGAATACAACGGTTTCTCTGGATTTCTCAAAGATCTGGCTATGCTTGCGGTTGCCTTTTGCAAACCTGAATTCAATTCCTACAGGTGAGGAACGAGCACAAAACGCAGAGCATCTGCAATCCGATCACGCTACTGTAAATTCATTGCACGGGAAGGCTGCAGCTCGCACGTGTTGGATGCATTTGTGGGACTGCAGCGGCAAAGTGCACGGTAGCCTTGAAACTTGATGGCTTCAAGAAAAAAGAGAGCATTTAGCGAATCTATGAATCTAGTTAGTGTGCGTCTTGCTCACTGGCTGGCACGCGGCACTTGTGAGAATCGTCGGCAAGGGGTCAGTCTGTGCAGAAAAATCTTGCGAAGACAAATTGCGCATCAAGGTCTGCAGAGTGTTCTCGTAGTGAAGATGAGAAACCTCCAAAGCTTTGCGAATTGTATTGCGGACAAAGGTGTTCATTGCATCGAGACCTCCTGGCATTTGCTCGATCAGAGAATGAATCATGAGTCGGTCTTCTTCAGCTGTTGCTTGAGCGCTACGAGTGTCCAGCTCTACAGCTGTTTTGGCTACAGCCACTGCGACATCCGTACCAGCTTTGCCCTTCTGCAAAACACCAGTGGAAGTGCACAGAAGCAACCCCTCAAAGCGACCACTTCGATTTAGGCAAACTGTTTGGTGTACCTCGAAAAGACACCAAATACGTTGGAGAGGAAGTTCATGTGTGTGTGTGGCATTTATATGTTGCCACAGCCTGGGCCCACCGAAGTGGGTAGCTGGAGGCAACTTTCGGGGCGCCAAAGCGCAAAAGTGTTCGAAGCAAACAGCTTCGCCACCAACCCTGCTGCACGGCGTGCAGTCCATTGATGACATCTTCCCGTTTCCGACAAGGCAGAAATTGAATAAAAGGAATCACCAAGCACATAAGGTCAGCTGAGAGCTGATGACTCGACATGCCTACGCAAATCAAGCAGAGCTTGTTTCTGTCTTGCAACAGCAATACTACTCCAAGCCATAGCATCATCGACTCGACGAGCCCAAGCACTCAAAGAATCGGCACAGGGCTGCGCAACGGCCTGAACTGCCGCATCAATTCTGTCATTGTAAGTCCGCCAGACAGCAGGGGAGTGGCCATCTGGCGGTGTCCAATCTTTGGAGCGGCCGTGGGCCGGCACCCATGAAACTACACTTTCAGGACTGAGCAAAGCAATGGCGCGCCACATGCCAGATGCCCAACGTGGCAAAGATCCACCACGCCGCACCCTCGCAGCAGCGAAGACAACGGCTTGTGAGTCACATAGAACACGCACTCTCACACCAGTGAGATGTGCTGCGCGCAAAGCTTGAAACACGGCCCAGGTTTCAGCAGCAAAGATATTCTGGTCGCAACCTTTCATCGGAAAAGCAAAAACCTGACTTTCAGTCGCGATACCCCAAGCCGCCCGCTTCTGCGAGTGGCGAGTTTTGCAGCTACCATCAGTAGCGACCAAAATCATTCCATCAAAGAGCGCCATCTGCGAAATGAAAGCGGAGCAAATTTCAACAGGAGGGCGCACGTCATCCGGCAAGAGATCAGGCGGCTGCGGCGGCGGAGCTATGCTACGCGCCAACAACCTCTCTTCGACACCATTAGCAGGTGCAGGAGTGTGTTCAGGCAAGTTGGTATCAGGGCAATGCCAAGTGACATGCCAGCATGAAGGCCAATCTGCACCACACACACAAGACACGTGATTCAAGTCAAATCTCTTGGCCAGCTTGCGACTGGCTGGCCCTGCAGCACAAGCAATGGAAAACGACAAGGGATCTTGCTTTTGACCCTGCTTCATGCAAGCCACATGCACAGCAATGACAGGTTCCACGTTTAAGTCGGCAACTTCCGCCGCACGCGGCTCGCTAAGCCACAACTGCCGTTTCCAGGCGGCTTTCATAGCGGCTGTGACACTAGTCTCACCATGGGAAAGCAAATCAAGCACACCTGAAGGAGTACGGAAACGACTTTTGCTCAAGCGCTCCCAACCCCACTTTTGCAGGACTTCAATTAGGCGGCTGCTGCGTTCACACGGCTCAACCTCAGTGAACTGCAACCTGGAAATGTCAGTCACACTTTGGCATGCAGCAGCTTCACGTCGAAGTCTCCACAACTCGTGAAACACAACTCTGGAATCCAAGGCGAATTCTGGGTCAAGCTCGGGCGTCAGGAAGCAAGCCCACATCAAATATCTGGATCTCCCAGATTGAGGATAACCCAACATGGTTGTCTCAACAGCATATCTCCATTTTTGCAAGAGTTTCTTGGGAATGGTGGTCCAAGCACCTGTGTGCGAAAACAAGGACAGGACAAGTGACCTCACAAGCCGCCTCTTGCTCCAGTGCCTGTGAGTGGCCATTCGAAGGCGCCTGAGACGCGCTTGCACTTTTGCAACAACGGCAGGCTCAATTGGTCTACGGCGAGCCTTAGTAGAAAAGTAATGAACCCCCAACAACTTGAAGTGGGAAGCCATCTTCCACTTCCTGTTACAAGCAACGTTCCATGACTGAAAAGCTTGCAATTGGGCATTTCGGCACTTGTAGAAGAGTTCACATTTAGAACTGTTCAACCTGAGGCCCAAAACCTGGTCAACGCTCTGCGAAGCATCAAGAGCAAGCTGCAGTGGCTGCCGCTCTTTACACCACAAAGTCCTGTCATCAATATAAACTGAAAGTTGGACACTGGGCGATTGTTGCTGCACATACCGACACCAGACAGTCATCAATCCGGCGAGCAAAGCACAGCTACTTGGACATCCTTGCAAAATGCCACGGGTGCATCGAATGCGTTCACGGCTGCAAAAACCTTGCCATTCGAAACTTTTGACTTGCATGCGATAAAAGCATTTCAAAATGTTCACAACTTTGGCAGGAGCGCCAAATTTCTCCCAAACAATGAAAGCTTGCTCGATATTCACATGATCAAAGCATTTGGCCACGTCGATCTTTGCCCCAAAAAGAGTGCTCTCCTGCAAAGCTTCATGAAGGTCATCATGTACGATGGTGGAACTTCTCGCCTTCAAACCACCGACTAACTCCGGCGGCGCCCATTGGTCAATCCAAGGGGACAACTGGTGCAAAATGCAACTAATGCCAAGGCGCCAAGCAAGGCAAGCGATGCTAATAGGTCTGAAACCGACATCCTTAGGGATAAGGACACAACGCACTTGCGCCCATTGAGAAGGCAGAATCCCAATGTCCAAAATTCTACGCCACAAGGCGGAGAATGCAGAATAAAACCCTTCGGGCAACAAAAGCCACTGGTCCGCTTTCCAACCGTCTGGTCCGGCCGCTTTTCCAGAAGCTTGTTTGGTGAGTCTCACAAAGCTAGTATCAGTGAAAACAGGCTCCGGACAAAAATACTCGTCAGCACGTATCCAAGAAAGAAAAGGCAGAACCCGTTCAGGCTCAACATTGCTATGCAGGCACCAAATGGCCTGCCATTCACGACCAAAAAGCTCAGCTTTGAGCTGCGGATGCACTGGAACAGAGTCAAGGCCTGACGGGGCAATGAGCTTATCCGCGCCCTTGACCCAACGAATAAGGGCGTGCTCATTCTCATTCATGTCGGTTTGCCACCTAGCTAACCTTCTTTCTGACGAAGCATCACTCTCACGCTGAATGCATTGCAGAAGGATATCCGGAAGGCGAGGAGACAAAACATCGAACTCGGTGAGCTCAGGGAAAATTCTAGCAAACCTGCGCAGCTCTTCGCGCACTTTGTTCAGTAAACGCCAAGGCCAAGAAGGTTTCTGCAACTCTAGAACCCGCCTATAAGTTCTTCGCAGTCTACGCTCAAGGGTGGTCTGCAAAGTGTCGGGCTTGACAGGAGCCCGAGGCACCTGACTTGGAGCTGGCACGGAACTGCGCTTACGCCCTGGCTTAGCTTGTAAGCAAATCTCAGCCGCATTGCTCAGAAAGATCCAAGCTTCTTCGATTTGGCTTTGTTCCAGCAAAGTGTGAAAATGTTGCAAATCAAAATTGCGACCCCACAATTCGTTTGACACAGGCTCAGTGGCTAACAAGGCTCTGGCAGGCTGAATCCTAAAGGAAGCTTCCTCTGCAAGCAGAGGAAATGAATAAAACACAAGGTCATGGTCAGCAACTCCAGGGACTTGACCCCTGTCTGAAGGAACTAACAACGTGGAATGCAAAGCGTAATCAATGTGCCTACCTCCAGTGCGAGTGGGCGCCTGGAGCTGCAATGGCCCCGCAATTTCATCTGCCAAATGGAGCCGCCCTCCCCTCAGTGGAGAAAGCGCAGGTTCCTCATCAGGCACATTGTTCCAATCACCTATGAATAAACAATCTTCACCCATCTGTGCAGTTAGTTCAAAAAGCAGATGCCCTAGTCGGCAGGCACTTGAGCGATCCGAAGCATGCAAGTACAAGTTGACCAAAACAAAAGGTCTTCTGGCAGGCCTATGCACTTGCAGTACTTGCCAACGGCCACTGTGGCACTGCAGTTCTGGATCAATTTGGGAAGGCAAAGCTTTCTTCTCGACGGGCCACCGGCTCAAAACAGCAACGCCGGCAGTTGGTGCCCCCTGCGAGTCTTGCGCGCAAGGGCCGGGCAAAAAGGTCCAGCCTTGCTGCTTGGCAGCATGGTGGGCTGACAGCATGTTATCCTCGGACAAACGGACCTCTTGCAAGCACAAGATATCTAACAAGTTCTCACGAGCTAAAGTTAACACTTGAGCCATCTTTCCTTTGAGGGTGCGAACATTCAAGGTGCCAACCACCAGAGCACCTTGCCCAGAGGGCGAACTGCCCTCGGATTCTCTCTGGCTAGGTTGCGTCATGGCTTGGAGCCAGACGCCACTTCCCCTGTGAGCATATTGAGAAGCTCACTCAGCGATTGCAACTTGCTTCCTTTGGCTTGTTTCATTTGGGCTTCAAGGAATCGCACCAGCTTCATGCGTGCCGGACTCCAAGTGACCCTACCTTTACAGGCGGCTTTCAGGATGGTGCTTTGCAAAGCAGCGACACGACAGCATGTTTTGCAGAACATGAATCTCTTGGGCGGCTGGCCCGGAATCTGCAAAGGAACAATGTCATGGTCAACAGGCGCAGCCTCTGGGACAGAGTCAGAGGGCTGCAGCTTTTGAATGACACTTTCAAGAGCCTGGCGATCAGCACCGCCGGGTGCAAAACGAGAGCGGCACTTCTTCAAACGAGCTATGAGCATAGCCCGTTTTGGACCTCCTTTGCTGGCTTTCTCGCAAGGGAGCTTTGACATGGCCTCAGCACTGGGCGACAAAGCAGTACACTTCTTGCAGAAGATTTTGTTCAAAAACCGTCTGCGCTTTTTCCCCTGACCCGTGTAAGGCAACTGCAAAATTTCGCAGTCATGAAGCCCTTGCTTACCACACTTCAAGTCAAGCAATTTCTTGGCGTTGCCAGCTGAAGTCTTGGCTGACGTTGCCCTTTGCGCACTCTTGGCGCTTCCTCGCTTGATCAAAAACCTCTTCGTGGCGGCTCTGGGGTGCACCTCTTTGGCGTGCGCCAAGCGCATCTTGCGGAGCGCATCCAAATTCTTGACCTCATTAGGAGTACCTAGATCACAAAGAGGACACTTCCAGTTGCACTTGTCCTTGCTGTACGGAATCAGCTTTGGCAAACGAGGGTTCAAACTAAGCTGACTGGCCTTTTCAGGATGCCAGCTACGAATGTGGTCCTTCTTCACAGTCGTCCAATGCTTTTTGAAACCAGTCCAAAACCACAGATGGGACAAGTCCAGTCTTGTCTTTTAGCGCTCGCAACAGCTTCAGCAGGCTTAGACTCATCATCACCACACGATGCAGGGTCACCACTCAAGCTAGCAATGTCACTCGGAAGAGACTCGCCAAAGGCACTTTCAGGCACGCTATTGCTGGTAAGACCAGCAGCGGCACTAGATCGCTTCTGAGCATGTCTATCATGCGGCAACGAAGGCAAGGCTGACACACGCGTTGGCTCCTGGCTTGCAGAGCCACGCGACTGGGATGCCCTCTCCGGTGGCAACGCAGAAATCCGGGCGGCGCCAGACACTGACTGCCCAGCTCAGGATTCAAATCTCCTTTGAGGTACTCGTAATGCTGGTCCTGGAACCAAAGACAAATGCATCCCTTTTTGCTAGACTGATTGTAAGCCTCAGGTTCGGCGAGAAAAGGACAGAAAACAAAGATTGTTCGGTCGAAGTGCGCTGCAGCAGCAGCAATCTCGAGACAGCCTGCATACGCTCCAGCCTTGCTGACTAAGCGAAGGTACTCTTCCCAGGAATCACAGATTTCTTCATCCGGCCTCAAATTGTCCCACCAAGGTTGGTATCGGTCGGCATGGCGCTTCAAATGAGCAATCACAGCAGCGCGAATAGCACGCGCATGCTTTGGATTGTCAGGGTTCAGACCTTGCGCAATGGACTCGAAAAGGCAATTACCTTGCGCTGAGTTGGGCACCCGGGTCAGGCCCTTTGGCGCATCTCTCACAACCGCCCTTTTCTTAGGCGGCGGCTTGGCAGCCTTCTCAGGCGAGCCACCCATTCGCTTGGTGGCTGCTTTGGCTGGCGACGTCATTTCCACATCCTTTACCTCACTTGGCTGAGAAGCTTCAACTGCCACAGGCGGTTGCTTCTCAGTGGCTTCAGCGGAAGCGGTGTCCTGCGAATGCCCTGCAGCAGCTTTGGGCTTCACCTTAACAGGGGAAGCAGCATAAAACGAAGATCGCTGAGCTGGCTGAACCTCAGCAGATCCACGGGTCTGACCAAAGGCAGGCGAGAAGGACAGCGACGAAACAGTCTTGAGCTGCTGGGTCTCACTACGCATTCTCTTCATTGGGCTGAAAGCAGCAGCAGTGATTGTGATGTTGCCAAAAACCAGCTCAACAAAGTCAGTCCCTTGCGCGCACTCGGCAGTGAAGAAAAGGCACGTCGTTCGACCATGTGGCTTCCTGGAAGTGAGTTGCAAATTGCTCAAACCAGCAGCCTGACTCCAATCTCTCGGAACACCAGTGACCTTCCAGGTTTTGACCTTGGTCGTAGCGACCTTCTTGTCGCTGGCTGGCGGGACTCTGACTCCGAGATTCTTCAGGCCTCTGGCCAAGCTAAGGTTGCCAGCCATGCTTAACACTCTTGCGGCATAAACATGTCCAGATTCATCCGGCAGACGCTTCTCCCACCGCACTTGGCAGGTGGGGATGTCAGGCTGATCCCAACGCAAGGGTTCAATGAACCAGGCTCCTTGTCCGGACAGACTCAAAAGAGTTTTGGCAGCAGAAAGCTCGACTCTCATGAGGGAAGTGATCAAAGCCTTGCCCCCCCCTTTGGAGGACTGCAATTGCCAACTCCAGATGTCTCGGATTTGTCTCTGCATCGCAGCCGGGACATTGGCATGGATCCATTTGTGGGCAGCCCCACCGGCGTTGTCAACAATGCCACGCCAGCGCGGATCCTCATGGTACTTGGCTTCTGTAGAAAACCTCAAAACAACTGTCGGAGCAACACTAGGTGCAGACTCTACAGTGCGAACTTGCTTCTTCAGCTTAGGGCAGCTGACTCCAATGGAAAAGACATGCGACATGCGAGGGACGAGCTTGCCACGTGTTTTCCCTGGAACTTGCGTAAATTCGCCAGCAGACTTGGGCACGTCAACACCCTTGGTAGAGGGCAACACAGCAGTGACGCCGACATGGCGGTCTGGCTGGGCCTCACTTTCAACCAAAGTCTTCAACTCTTCCAGCTCACATTCACTGGAAATCAAAGCTACCGCTTTGATGGGCTTCTCATCGGATCCCAAACGTTGCGCAATTTCATCAAAAGACAAAATTTCACCATCCCAATCCGCAGCACGCAGCTGCCAAACAGGCTGGAACGGAGGGTCACCCTTGGCATCTTTAACCACATCAGCAAAAGTGCGTGGTGCATGGATTGGCGGCGATGTTTCCTTAGCAGTGTTTGCTTTGCTTGCGCCAACAGGCTTGGTTTGCTTCTGTTCCTCCTTGCCCGCAGTGGCGGGCTGACTAGGCTTTGCAGCGACTGGCTGACTTGCCTTGTTCGTGCGCACCGGTTTCTTCTTCCGCTTTTTCTTCAACTTTGGTTTGTTGCCAAACAGGCTATTCTGCACAAAACTTGACAACAGACTGGCAAAATTAACATTGTTGCTGGCACCCTTGTTGCACGAGGCAAACTGCGACAAGAGAGACTGCAACAAAGTAAGCAGCTGCACTAATTGTGACACAATGTCTTCACTCAGGCCCGGGCCAAAATTGCCAAACTGAGGCTCCTTTTCAGAGCGCTTTCGGCGAGTCGCCCTGGACCCTCCTCCATTGCCATTCATAGAATGGACACGCTTGTTGCGCACCTTTGCAGCCCAAGTTCCACACATAAGCAGTGAGATCATATGCAGATTGCCATGTAAGGAGACACTTCGGTGGACATTTCGCTGCCGCCGTCGCTGGCGGCCCCGCAGATACGAAGGTGGGTAGATCCACCAGGGCGTAGTCCACATATCTGCAGGGAGAGGAAGTTCATCGATCACCATGGTAGTACCCTTGCACTCTGGACTTTTAAGGGCCAGGTAAAATGATGAATCTTGCCAACGGCCATGTCCAAGTTCCTCCTGCACATGCCACTGGCTGTTGCTGAAGGTGCATATCCAATATGCTGCATCTCGCCAGTCTGCGTCATAAGATTGGGCATGTTTGCGGATGGCATCACCGAAATGACGAACAGGCATTCCCCAGTAGTGACTGACAAACCATTGGATTTTCGTTGGCCCTATGAGCTCCACAAAAGACATTTGAAAGGGCTCAGTCAAAGGTTTCACGATGTTAGAGCAAACGTAGTACATGGAGCGCTCCTTGATGAATGTGTCAAAGAACCTCAAAACGATCTCAGAACTGCACCCCAAAAAAGTAGCACAAATGTCAACGCCCTTGTTCTTCAGTAGTTTGAGTTCAAAAGCCCCAACCAAGATCAACGCCCCGGTCTTGTTGCACACACCTGTGAAAAAGGTCTGACGCCCAAACCTCAAACTAAAAAATGGGCACAGGATGGGCAATCTCGAGAGGACACCCTTGCAGTGAGATGAAAATGACAGTGAGAGAAAGCACGACCCAAACAGTAAAAGGGTAAGGCACAATAGATTGTCTCGTCTGCGGCCTCCAAAGCGGTGTCTTTGATCTTTTCGCTGCGCCGAGAGCCGGCGGAGAAGAACGGGACAATTGATTGTGAAAAGGACCTTCTTAAACTCATGTGACCCATACCGAGCCACCAAGGCTGACCGAAGGTCAGAAATGCGACTGTACCAGTGGAAGTGAAAGTTCAGGTTGGGAACGATCTCGGAAAAAGAACTCTAGGTTTTGCAGTATTGCTCGATTTCTTCCAAGGTGCTGCAGGAAGTCATGAAGCTTCCCGGCAGTCATCGAACGATCAGGTCCACGGCTACATCGCCCAGGGGCTAAGGTCCACTCTTTGAGAAATTGACGTCGCCTCTTCGCCAATGGTGTGCTACCAACTTGCCTTCCAGGCTTTCCGCTCAAATAGAGGTTTTTTTTGCTTGACCTTAAACAATCTTCCTGCTTGCGTAGTTGGGTTTCCTGGGCCATGAGCTCCTTATAGCAATTTGTACATTTGCCTTAAACTTAAACCACAATGCAACGGGCATTGTGCCATGTGTCTGTTTACTGTCATTCACAAACTATAAAACTAAAAGCTTGCCCATATTATATTAAGATTATGTATACAGTAATATATAAGTCTTGTGAATATATCACTCGCCGTTGATCCTGTGCACCTTTCGTTGACCGCATCCCTCAAGGCACAAGAGTTTGACTGCCTGAAATCTTTGCCCTTGTCGGCTACTGTGTTCACAAGCCTCAAAACGTCCTAAGTGCTATGCGCAGAACATTCTCTACTCTGATGTCGCTGCGGCTGTAAACAACTTCTGGCGGAGCCAATGGGCTGATGGTTCAACAGAAAAACAACCAACGGAACGAAGCGATCATGGAGTCAAGTGCGCAATCCAGCCTGAAGTGCGTTTTCCTCGGGACGCAGTTCCAACTGGCACGTATCTGAGATAACGGGGCCGAAAAGCGACGTACCTTCAGAACCGTGAACCTGCCTGCACGGGCCACCTCTCGAACCGAACATTTTGTGGGACACCTCAACCTAGCGTGTCCATGGGCAGGCTGCGACCTCGAACCAACCATGAACCAAGCATGCGCCGCAGCCGGCGTGACACAAAGCTACTTTTACTCACGGCATCGTTGTTTATACATATACGATCTTTAATCAAGTGAACAGGTATTTTAGACTACCTCCGGCAAGGTTTTTGCCCGCCCGCCTGTTTTTAAACACGCGGAATGAATGTACGATTTAAATATACGGTCAGCTTACATATGTGCGGCGGAATATATTTGGTACTGACTGGTCTCAAATACACTATCTATCATGTGGGGTGTTGATGGTGCTCTTGGGGTCCCGGTGGCCTTGGTGGTCTTGGTGGTCTTGGTGGTCCGGTCTTGGTGGTCTCCGTGGTCTAGGCGGTCTTGGTATGGTCTTGAGTCCGGCGGTCTAGGCGGTCTTGGTGGTCCTGCTGGTCTTGGTGGTCCAAGTGGTCTTGGTGGTCCAGGCGGGCCTGGTGGTTTTGATTTGGTGGTGTGGCACCCCCATACAGCCTGCAGCCTTGAAAGTACTAAGACTGCTTGATGGGTTCTACTTCCTGTGAGAGGGTTTGAAAGGCTAGATCGACCTAGTTGCTGGTAGAAAGCAAAGTTATTTCTCTACAAAAATCTGTAGGTGCCAAATTGTTAGACTACCTCCGGGGCCGATTGCTCTGGCCAGGCCACCATTTGTTTAAAAGGTGTTACCTCTACTGAGGTCAAATGACATTTCGGACGCAACTATGGAAGCCAGGGGTTGGGAGGGTTCAGCGGGTTCCGTGTTCTTTTTTGTTTGCTTTTGGGGCAGTAGTAGTATTCGGCTTGTGTTGACTTGGACGCTCGGACACTGAGAAAAAGATACTTTTCGATCTTTTCGGCCCCCACCTTCTCCGCAGGACGAACCACAAGGAGCCTGTACAAAAAACCCAATGCGCAAACAACCATCGCCAGGGACCAAGGAATCCGGCTTGCTGCACCTGCGCTCGTTGCCATAAGTAGCAAGCACCACCAAATGAGCGGACAGTGCCAAAAACCAGTTGAGAAGAAGACATGTGGAAACTTCACACGCACGTGCCCTGTTGACGTATCCAGTGGCATGGCACTCTGATCGCCGTGCAGCGTCACTTGGTATAAACTCAAGGTTCTCACTCGCCAAGTTCGGGATGACGCCTCTAAATCAGGAACCCCTGTGCCAGTGAAGGTCACAACAGGGCATGCTCTTTTCAACAAAAAATGCGCCGTCCAAGTCGTCAGCACAATCTTTGGACCCTGCGGAGACACATCTGAGATGGGAATACGGCCATAGAAGCCAGTCCAACAAAGAAAAACAAAGCAAGCTGATGTGATCGAGCAAACAAGTGCAAACACAATGTCCATTGTCAGAATTTGGCAGGTCTGCTTGGCGGCATCAGGAGTGGAGCGGATGAGGAAACTATCACAGCTTCTGCAAACGGCACTGCTTGGGCTGGACACATGGCCCAATGGACAGCCTTGGCACGTGATGCTTCCAGCAGTGGCGAAGGTTCCTCCTGGACATGGCTCACATGTCAAGGAGCCTTTGGAAAAACGGCCCGCGTCACATGGGCTGCAACTCCCGCTGGCTGCACCTGAAATGGTGCCCAAAGGGCACGCACTGCATTTTGAGCTGGCTTCGCCTGCAAAAGTGCCAGCAGCACATGGTTCACACGTGATGCTACCGGGCTTGGGGGACTGAAAGCCAGCCTTGCACTTGCTGCATGAATCATTTCCAGTTAAAGAAGTATAACCGCCAGGACACTCACTGCAAAGCTGGCGTTTGACCTCATACCTTCCCGCAGGACAAAGCTCACACGCCAAGGAACCTGAAACTTTCGAAATGGCTCCTCGAGGGCAAAGGGTACAGTTACTACTTGCTGTCAGGGAAAAGGTCCCCGCCGGGCATCTCTGACATCCGCTGCTTCCAGCAGTTGCAAAGGTTCCACCAGAGCATGGCTCACATGCGACAAAACCTTTGGAAACACGGCCTGCGTCACATTGGCTGCAAGTCTGACTGGCTGGGCCAGAAACAGTTCCAGAAGGGCACTCAAGGCAAAGTGCATGATCAACTTCATACCTTCCTGGGGGACATTCATCACAGGTTGAACTGCCTGATGCTTTTGAAACTGTCCCTGAAGGGCAAACTGAGCAGTTGCTACTCCTCATCCGGGAAAACGTTCCTGGAAGACAGGCCTGGCAAACACCCCCTGCAAGCGAGAAGGACCCGGCAGCACAAGGAACACAATTGCCATCATCTTCTTCGGTACCAGCTGGGCAGTTGCCATCAACGCACGTGCTCCGCCCCTCCTCGTCACTTCCGAAGAAGTGGGCCTCGTTGCAAACACATGAGCCATTTCCTTTGATCATTAAAGCAGCAGTAGACTCCTGTGGGAAAGTCTTTGCTGTCACATCATCGAAACAGCTGCCTCGACCATAACAAACCTTGCCATCTCCGCCCGGACATGCTTTGCAGCTATGCATAGGCATAGTCTCCCGACTTTCTTGGGATGCACCAAAGAACTCTGGAGGGACACTATGGAAATGTGGCTCGCAGCCAGAACAATCGCTTAGCTCATGACCTGCTATGCAGCTGCAATGCTGTTGCCTGCGCAAGCAAGTGCCTTTTTTGTGGCAAGGGTCCGCCGGCACACAAAAGCCTGCGCTCCAAAGCTCTACGTGTTGTGAGTAATAGTCTCCCCCAAGTGCAAATATTTTGAGGCGGCCATCTGATGTGCTTCCAAGGTCCCATGACATTGAATTCTTTTCGTGACTGAGGTTTGTTCCCAAGCAGCGGAAATCATCGCGACAAAGCAATCTATGCATGCTGTCATGCTCACAAGCTTGCCACCATGAACCTCTAGAGCCCACATGCTGCCGCACTCGGATCAGGTCAAAATCCCCATCCTCATCGCAGTCCACAAATCGCCACATGCTATCTGAATATGTTGGGTACGGTCTTTCCGGCAAATCTATAACCCTTTTGACAGGGCTTTGCTCCAACGGCCATTCGAACAGACTTCCATCTGCTAAGTGTTCAAAATAGCGGCCATCCGGTGGGCCAAGAATCAAATCCACATCACCATCATTATCCCAGTCCACCAGGGCTGGCTGAGTTGCAAAGGCATATGGATAGTGTTGTACTGTGATTGCTCGAAATGGATGATCTGGGGCTTTTTGTGCAAGAAACCTGAAACCATCTCAAAGTAATGCAACTTGTCTTGAGACGAGATGATCAAGTCCAAGTCCCCGTCTCCATCCCAGTCGGCAATAGCAGGTCTAGGGTTCGGTGATCTATCTGCCCTGTCCTCACGTTACTCGCCACAGTTCCATTGCAAAATGGACACGCATAGACTAAGTTCTTGGCGGCAACGTGACCGTCCTTGACACGAAACTTCTTCCCGCACGCACGGCGGTGATCTACTTGGCAAAGCCCTCACACACGGTCGCCGGTCCGCGCGCGTTGTCCTTTGTTGGCAAGATGGCCATTGCAATCCCTCAACTCCAAATTCCGCCTATCATATCAAAACCATTGCCCCTGCAGCGCAGCACCCCCGCCCCGTCCCCGCCCCTCTTCCGTCTCCTCTCGTCCATCCACGGACGGACGTTCGCTTTTCGTCGCTCGTCCGCGGTGGACTTGAGGGCTTCCAACTGCCACCGTGCCAACACCGGACCACGCCCACAGACCAGCGACCGTTCGTAAGAAGCAGTGATGTCAGCACCTGGGCTGCGTCACCGCAAGCCTCGCCTGATCAGCTCTGAGCTGCCAGGCCAGGCCCTCACAAACGGTCGCCGATCCGCGTGCGGTGTCCTTTGTTGGCCAGATGGCCATTGGAATCCCCCACGTCCAAATTCATCCAGTCCTGTCACCTCCACTGCCCCTGCAGCTCCCCAGCTCACCACGACCGTGCATAGTACTTGCGCGCCCATCTTCAGGTTCGTGAGAATTGCGCGCCCATCTTCCGTCCACCGACGGGCATTCGCCCCACATCGTACCCCTCCCTCCTCTCCTCCTCACCCCCGTCCACGCCCATCTTCACTTTTGGGACTCAAAAAATGCTCATCGAGCAAGGCTAGCAAGGCCTCTGTTGTATTTCCAAAAACACCTGGCACTTCCTTGACGCTATGCCCTTGAAACTCATACAAATGCAAGCTGGCTCTTCTGAAAAGCACCACATCTTCAGAGCCATCACCATTCCAGTCTGCAACAACAATTTCATTATTTGTGTCCGGCACGGGGAAATCGATGTCTTCATAGGTTTATAGTCATGAAGGATCTCTTCAAAAGGGGGGGTTAGGTTAAAAGAGGTTCTTTAGATCCTCTCTCTTCATATATTTAATGTATTATTAATGATACTTGTTACACAACACTCACCGCCAAGACATGGCACGACAGCTTTGACATGCACTGCGTTTTTGCGTTTGTTTGAAGTGGAATCACTCGCACCATTTTTCCTTCGAAGCAAAAAGGGGAAGTCACGAAGACACAGTTTTGTGTCCTTTTCGCATGTTAGACATTTCATTCCACATCCTTCACATTTCGCATTGACATTTCACATTTACATTTCCTGGACACCCCAGGATTCGGATGTGTTGTTCCAAAACATTTGGTTACCCCAGGGAGGGAAACACGAAGTGTGGGCGGGGCAAGCTTCTACGCAAAAGTTCGTGAGCTACCCACCCACCCACCACTGTTTGAACCATGCATCGGCGCATCGACAACGATGTGATCCTGTACTTTGGTTTCACGATTTCCATTTGGCTTTGTTTCGGTTTGACACGTTTATACATCTTTTTTTTTTTTACTCTTATTTGTACTATGCCCTTTAGTAGCTATTATAGTCATGAAGGATGAACCTGTGACAAACGCGTAAAAAACCTCAAATGTGTACCCCTCTACGCGCGCGCGCGCGCGGCGCGCGCGCCGCGCGAACATTTTTTTTTTGAAGAGACGCCGTGTTACAAACACCGCTGTCCACATGACTATAATCAACCATCAGCAAGCTGACAGGAACCGTCCATGTGGGAATTCCGTGTCAGACCTCGGTCCAGAACATGTTGAAAGTAGTTGATTCTCCACAAGAGTGGTTCGCTGTAGGCTCCTTCATCGTCAAGGTACGCGTATGAGACCAGCAAGTCGACCAGCCCATCTGAATTCCAGTCAGCCAAATGCACGCACCAATGTATATCTACATAAGCTGTCGTCATAGCATGTTTGGCAAAAGGATTCTCCTCCTCTTCCACGAAGCTATCATCCGCAGCACGTCGAAAGAATCGAAGAGGAGTGCTTGTGCCTCCATGAGAACCTCTCCCCCGCCCTGCAACAATGAGCTCTAGGCGCCCATCGCCATCCATGTCACCGACCCATTGTACCTTGCCATCAAAGATACCAAGTGGATTCTCCTCGCCTGTACGTTCCACAACTTCTTCGAACGAGATACGCTCAAAGTATCTTCCGAATCTTGGTTGGTATATTGTGTCCCACACATCATACCAGTTGCTTCGATGTGGGTCTCCTTCATCTTGATCAAGTATGAGATCAACGTCTCCATCTTCATCGAAATCCAATGCCTGTATGTTGCACCTGGAGCCGTTTGTTGACAGAATCAGGTGGTGATCGCTGCTATCCTCCCACGGCAGACCCCGTGCGAGGGATCTATTGAAGAAAGTCACCTTTGTAGTGTTATCCACCACTGTGCAAAGCAGTACATCCAGTTTCTTATCACCTAGGGTAAGCGGAGAAAACGACCGAAAAAAACCTGAGAGTGTGAGCGTTGTTTTGCGTTCAGCGTCCAAGGAGAAATGGCAACCAACAAATTCAAGTGGGAATTCCGTGATCAACTTCTGAGAAAAAAACATATAGCGGACCTGGTAAAAAGGACCATCGCCAAAATCTATCTTCTGGCCACCAAGTCACCATCCCAGTCTGCAACGTCAAAACGAGAATGTGAATGGCCATTTTGGGCTGGAAGTTTTGGAAATTTCAAGAGTTCGTGTCCACGAAACTGGTTGTCTGAAAGCCGTTCATGGAGCCATATCGCGCCAAGTTCACCTGCCAACACATCCATGTCACCGTCGCCGTCCCAGTCTGCAAAGCGCAAAGTCCCATTGAACCCAAAACCCTCCAAGGGAACACGATGCCAGCTCTCAAAATTGTGACGCTCTCCAACACAGCTACCACTAGAAGCCTGGCACCACAATCCTTCCACAATAGTCGGCCAAGCCAACAAATACAACGAGCAGAGCTTGAGAGAAGCAAGCACCGACATGCAAGGCATCTTGGGAGACTAGTTAAAGTGTGTTCAACTTTGATGTCACTCATGACTCAGCTTTCCTTGTGTGCTGTCTGTTACGGACATGTTTTATGGTCGAGCCGGCTTATTTCAATATCGAGACAATGTGTTGCTTTGATTGTCGTGAATAGCCCCATGCTTCAAGAAGGTCAAAACGCGACCTTTACCAACTTCATGTGATTTGGGGCTGTGTACTTACACGGTACTCAAGCAACATCTGGAGCATGGAGAAGGGGTCTTTTTCTCTGAGCTATACGATCCCCGTTTTTGATGCGATCGCGGCGTTTTGTTCTGTCTGGTTGCGTAAAAATGCCGTTGTTGGGTTGACAAAACATATCAAGATTATCAAGGTTGAATTTTTGATGGGATTCCTTTGGGATTTGTTTGCGTCGCATCTTTCTCTTGAACTGTTGAAACAACTGCGGATTCAAGACTGTCATGATGTCTCAAAACAGGTTTTTTTCCATGGACATCTCGTGAGACACACAGGCGAGTTTGGGAGGAGGCTCCTTTTGGAACACACGATTCGGCTCATTTTGGAACAACACATGGTTCGGCTCATTTTGGGACACGACAATCATTTTGCACTGTGGAATTGATTCTGGTGTTCGATAGAAAGTTGATATGCAGCGCGCGTGCGATGTCATATCGGTTCGCGGGCCCAATTTAGAGGAGGAAGGCGCCATGACAAGGTAATATACCTTCCTGGGTTGCTTTGTGGTGGCTTTCGAGCCGGCTCTCAACTCTGCCTGCTGACAAAGTTGTGATAGTGGGCGGGGCATTTGCCCCATGGTCTGTTCTCAAAAACGTATTGCCCGCGCTGGCAACAGCTGGATACAACAATGACCTGCGCGAAACACTTCTCGAATGCATGGCACTGTTCAAAACATGGCCGACGTCCTTTTCAGCGAAACACGACATTGGCTCAGTGGCCAGCTTTAACATGAAGGCATCAATTCGGAAGGTGGTTAGGTCTGCATGTCATGAACTTTCACACTGGTCTATGTTTCCACCTTGCAGATCTGTGCCCGAGGCTGCTTCAGCCATTCGCGAAGCATGTCGCGCAGTTTCAAGAAGCGTCTTTGTCATTGCATCTGCGAGCATGGCGGTCGCTGCGGTCCAGTGAAAATTGTCTGGACTCACGGTCTGCTGAACGCTGCGGATCTGAATGGGCGACCTGCGCTCTGACACTGACAGATTCTCGGCTGCACTATAAAGTGAACGACAGTCAGTGCACTGTCTCAACTGCAGGCGTGGGCCTAGGCCAAAGAACAAATTCACTCAAAACGTCGAGACACGACTGCCGCGATCACACCCCTCGTCGGCAGCTACAGCTTCCGCGGCGAGCGCGGACCGACGTCCACTACAGCCGCTGGAGTCGTGGACTCAGAGACCGTGGTCGGGCACAAGGCCACGAGGAGGCCGCTTTGGCTGCTGAGACCATTGCATTGGCGCAGCTCGAGTCGGCATAGAATAGCACCACTGTCGAGCGATCCAAGGCGATGCCGGCGATGGTGATTCCTTCGCTTTCGCAGCCCCACCCAACTTCTTCAAACCAATCGGCCAATGTCGTCTCTTAATTGGCCTCGGTTCGCCAGGCTTATCGTCGCGCCAATCTTCTCCAAAGTCGTGGAATCAAACTCCTGCAGTACCTAGCACAAAAATCGTCAACGTGACGTGAACAATCATCACACAGTCAAGCCTGCCACTATTGGGGTGGTAGTGGCAAAAGTCAATAAGAGCAGGTTCAGGTAGTAGAAGTAGTAGAAACAGTAATACTCGTAGTCGTGCGTGATGAAGTTTCTGTTGCAAAACTTCCACAACATGCTTGTACCAAACACCTGGACCCTTTGCTAACCCGTAACAGTTGCCGGTGACGAAATACAAAAGTGCACTGAAACAACCTGACTTCTTCGCGATTCGGCCATCAGGAGGCTGCATGTTTTATGGCATGTTGTTCCTCTCATTGCTGTCCTGCTTGCCCTCAAGAAAAGCCTTCTCGGCATTTGACAACCAGCCATGCCACTTCAGGCCAAAACCATTAAATCATTGACAGCGCAGAAAATCCTGAGCCAATGACGTGAGATCGGGGTCAGGGCATCCAATCAGCACGCATCGTTCTTTAAGCCAGCGCAGGCACACCACGAATCTTGTCGCGGTATGCGATGCGACTTTTGAGGATGTTTCGCCTCATTTTTGCGTCGCCAAAGATGTTCTTGGCCTCCGACCTTGGCAGGGTTTTGGCACCTGCCCAATGGTTCCAGCCATCGAACTCTTTCTGCTCCGATTGCACACACTGGTCGATGTAGGTCATGGCCGCGTCATCGTTCTATTATTGCTCACTGTCAACTCCTCATCGGACGAAAAAGGATCAGGACGATTTGGTTCGTCTTCGGGAGTTTCTTGCTTCCGCTGGGAACTCTTCCGCTGGGAACTGTTCAGGCAGGCCGTGTAAAAGGCCTTCTTGGACTTGCCTCTGGTGTTGGAGTCGGGACTGCCATCCCATCCATGCTTCCTGAGCGCTCGCCAGCTGAGACGCTCTCCATGCTCGAAGAGGTGGCTGACATAGTGCTGGATCCTAGCATCATATGGCCTCTTCCGGCAAGGCATCATTATTGGCCCTGCTTCTGCCGTTGCTTCTGCCGTTGCTTCTGCAGCTGCCGAATGCGCTGTTGTTTCTGCTTGTTCTGCTTGTTCTGCCGGCGCTGTGTCTGTCAGATGCTCTGCGGTCTCGCGCGTCTCCTGTGCAGGAACGTTCCGTTCCATTCTGCTGACGCGATTGCGTCGCCAATGTCTAGCGTCCACATGTTGGTGTATCTGCTGTTGCACCACTTGCGACGAGCAATGCGCTCCTCCGTTGAGTGTTGCCGGCGGTAACGTCAGTGTTGTTGAAGGGGGAGTGCAGCCGAAAGCATGATGGCTGTCCCAGTTGGCACGTCGCCAAAAAATAGGTGTTTGCGCCTGTCCATGCTTGCGCACACTCCCGCTGGTCACGGAAGTCGTGCGAATTGTCTGGCTGTGGTTGTTCGTCTTGCACATCCATGTATGCATGTCGGTCATCTGAGGGGTCGTCGAGGTTGAAAGGGCCTTCATGCTGTTGTGGTACATAAGGAAAGTATGCCGGTCCTGCATCGTTGTATCGCCCGTAGCCGTCCTGGCGGGGAAGTGTCTTCAGCCGATTCGGGCAAAGCCGACTTGGTCTCTAAGTGGATGTTCCGCTCAGCGTCCTTGAGCATGCGGACGTCATTCTCAGAAGGTGTCCATTGTTCCCATCCGGTGGCAACTCGGACTTGGTTTGCGCCAACCTTGATGCATGTTGACCTGAAGCCAACAACTTCGTTTGTCAGGCTGCTGAGGAGGTTGAAATAGATCTTGAAGAATCACCTGCGTCACGGTCTCGAAACACTCGCCATGTCACCAGATGCAAAGGAGGCCCAAGCGGCGAGTTGTTGTGAACTCTGTAGCTCCATCTTCTTGCATCATCCAGAGCTTCTCGCCAGGAGCTGGCGGTGGAAAAGGTTCATGGCTTGACATCTCAGATTTTTCAGAAGCGGTTCCTAAGTAGAAAGGCCAACACGGACAGGGCTAGAACCGCTGACAGCTGCAAGGTCTTCAGTCTCGAAACAAAGGTTTCCCTCCGACATCTTCAAGGCAGCGCCTCGATGTGTGAAAAGCACTTTGAAGGCTTGCAACCTTGCACTTTCTCGAAAGACCAAGGATCCAGCTCGGCGATCTTCAGGTACATCGGGCCACCCCGGTTGAAGTCATAGATGCGCCTGTGGGTGTTCTCAAAGCGTTGCTCCAGTTCATCGGGCATGGAACGCCACGTTTCCTTGTCCATGTTGGGTTTCGATTCATGTAGTAGGTCTCGTGGGTGTCTTTCTTCATGAAGCGAGCTGGATTTCCCTTCTGCGTTTCAGCTTGGAGGCCTTTGAGGATCGCATGCACGATGCCAGGGCCATATTCGGCGCCAGATCTTGCCGTCTTTGCACTTTCGACTGCATTGCAAAACAGTTTCTGTTCTGGTGCCAGGCGCTTCTGCTGGAAAGAAACCCGGACGAGTTGCCAATCCAGCGAAGCGGCTCAATCAGTCATGGGAAACCCACTGTTTTTTCTGGTTTTTTCCTCGTGCCTTTTTCTGCGTGAGTTCGGTCGGGTGGCTGCTTTGACAGCTTTTATACTGGCCTGTCCCCAGGTGTGCAAAGTCCAAAGTCCAAAGTCCCAGGAGGGGGGGGGTCAGTGGCTTGGGAGTCTTGAATGGGCTGGGGGCTCTGGGCATTGGGGGAGCAGGTCGCTGAGCTCAGGGAGGCTGGTATCGATGTACAATGCCAAGACAAGCCTGATTACGGGGTCTTTATATTTGCCAATCCACTCTTTAGGCCAGCGGTTTCGCGGAATGCGAACCCATGTCTCTGGGCCTTTCAGTGTGGTTTGGGTGTATGCCTGCTTGCCATCACCCTGGCTAATCCGGTTCCCCGGAGCAGATCCATAGCAATCTAGTGCTTTGGCCGCTTCCATATTTGCAGGCGATGAGCCAAGCTCCGCAAACAATCCCGTCTCAGAAGACTCATCCTTAACATTGTTGCCTTGGATCACCGTTCTACCTTTGAACTTTCTGAGAGGGTTGCTTTTCTCTAATTCACTACCCTTCTCAACACATAGTTCAAATATCTTTCCTACGTGAACCTTTTCACCAGTGCGCCTAGCTTCACTAGCAACATGTTCCCATTCTTGAACAGTGTTGTACCACCAGGCTGGTTTACTCTCAAGCTTGTTCCATTCAAGATCCAGTGAAGCCTGCGCAGCAGGATTCTCACCGACCTCTTTAGGACCTACCGGTCTGGTGACAAGTGCGTTCAAGATCATGTCTTTCACGAGTTCATGTGCCGTGGCTAGTCTATCGCGGTGATCATGTTTAGTCACCTCTTTTACAGGCATAGCAGGAACATCATCATTTTGGTCAACCCGATCCCTCGGGGAAGAAGGGTCATCTTTGTTCAGGTTGTTGACCTTCGCAGCAGCGGCTTTGAATTTCTTTCTCGCTTCTTCAAGCTCGTACCTCCTAATTTCTTTCTCACGAGCTGCCTTTGAAGCGGCCTTCCAAAGAAACGATGGAACATCTGGTGGTTTGGAAGTGCCTTTGTATTTCCTAGTCTTATATCCCCCCCGCGCTGTAGAATGATGAGCCTTCCTTAGGGATCGAAGTCAC